CCTCTACACGAAGGATGGCAAAGTCGCGGAGAAATGGCGGGAATGGCTAGAGCAAAGATGGGCTCATGCAGAAAATTGGCAGTTCACGCAAGGGGGGTAAAGAATTTGGGACAGAGGTTCCCGGTAATTTGTTATCATACGACCATCTAAGTACATACAGTGCACCCTTCACAGTAACCTGGTAGCCTAAATCGAACGTAATTTCACTGCAGCAACTGATGGGGAACCTGAGATGCAGGCGTGCCATGGGAAGCCATCAAGAACTGTCGCACAAGAGATAATAATGAGGAAACTAATGGTCTTATCAGCCTCAAATCTCGCCGGATCTGTCGTGCGCAGATGTCCGAGGCCGGATGAGACCCGGAAGGGGAGGCAGGGGTCCCGAGAAATGCTCGCGTGGAGGGTCGAGGCCAGCTACGCGAGTGGCGCAGCGCGGGAGAATGGACTGTAAGGGACTGTGGCGGTGCCTGACCAGGACCGTAGATCTAGCGGAGGAAGTGAATGAACGGTGATGTTTATATAGTGCATGAAGGATTGGATGATTATGCCGGGGGAAAGTCCGTTGCTGTAATTGAGAATAATAAATGAGAGATGCTCGTCAAAAAGCCCATAACTTCAACCTGGGGGCGCCCTTGTGGATTAACTTAGTGGGGAAAAAGAAACTAAATGTTACGAGTGCTATGAGCCGTCACGCAGAGCAGTCTGATACCGCTGCGTCCAGCTCGATGGCGGAGGCGCCTTCTTGCCTGGCTGTCCGGAAGACCTCGGCGGGGAGTTGACTTGCTCGTGAGGAGAGGACTTTGTCCGCGGCCTTGCGCCAGCTCTTCCGTTCGCCTGTTGCTGAGCGGCTAACTGGCCCATGGACTCCGTGCGAGGCGGATAGAAACCCTGCCCCGGTCCGTTGTACATCATGGGGTTCCGAGGCGGACCAAATGACTCTCCATAAACACTCCTTGAGCCCCATCCACCACCGCCGATCTCGCTCGCATCGTCGCCTATGACACTCGAAGCACCATAAACAGAGCGCGCGCCGGAAGGGAACATGACACTACCACCTGTCCAATGAGGTGTGAGACCGCCCATGCCCATCCCGCCGTTGTACATCGACCCACCGCCATACGTAGACCCCGCGTACGTCGAACTCCTCTCCCACTCCTCCGCTGCAGCGGCCATGGCCTGCTGTGCAACAGCCATCTGGTAAGTCTGCTTGGCGATCATCATGGCCCTTTCGTGTGCAGCTAGGTAGTTCGGATCGGCTCCCATAGGCGGAGGCGGGACCATGAAAGCTTGGGGAGTCAGCATACCCGTAACCTGTGGCGTGAGCATCTGTGTAGGAGGAATCCATGGCATCTGCTGCGAGGGGGAAGGACCGAAGTTCATACTCGGCATACCACCCATCATGGGGTTAGAGGGGTTCAGCATATTCATCCTGGGCGGCATGTTCTGTGAAATGGGCGCGTCTTCGTCATCCTCGTCGTCGTTATCGATAGGTCCCCGGCCATTGATTAAGTTGCCCAGCTATGCAAAGGTGTGAGGTTTGATACTGCTCCCCGTCAAACAAACGTACCTCAATCGCGGCCTTCGCCTCGCTCCTCCTACGCTCACGCCTCTTCTGCTCAGCCTCCTTATCCGTCATCTCCGCCCTCTCCTTCGTAACTGTCGTCGGCCGACCTCTCTCTCGCTCCTGATCCTTCGCCTGCAGGACCTCATCTTCGAAAGTCACACTAGAGCTCTTCCTATGACCCCGTCTACGGGCCGCCTCCACATTGCTGCTGACGTTGCTTACGCTCTTGCTATCCCAAGCTCTATCGTTCCCGTAATCACTCCCGTCGCGGGGGGTATAAGGCGCCCTACCGCTGCTAGAATCACCAGTCGAGCTTGCGGGACTGTTTCCGCGCCGCGGCTCAGCGAACGGTTTCTTGGGGACTGGGGTATTTCCAAAACCTGAGCCTGGCGGAATGAGCGATATAAGAGTAGGCGGTCGTACGGTAGAGGGCTGGGAAGATCCTGACGACGAATGCGAAGAGTTCATGCGCGGAACGGGTTGCGGAGGCTTCGATTCCGGTGGTGACAGATGCGACTCAGACAGAGTGTGGGTGGACCTGGGTCGGGACGTGACGCTGAACGAGGGAGGCTGCTCTCGCTGTCTCACTGGAGTCGGGACGATACGCTTCGCCTCCGGCTGTTCTACAGGACTACTGACAGGAGACATAGACTCCGGAGAACTGCTGACGAGCTTGGGCTCAGAAGTGCCCAACGGGCCAGAATCGGCTTTGGCAAGTATAGGGCTGAAAGAGAACATATCTGCGAGGGCATCATCGGATACCGGTGACATTGTCGCAGCACGTTTGGGCTGAGGCTGCGGCATAGCAGCAGCGGATGCAGTCGCAGGGTCCCTCTGAGGAGCCGGCAGATTATCTGTACTCTTTGATCCCAGTCCCTTAGTCAGATTAGCCAGACGTTCCGTCAAGTTCGTGGGCGAGAACGCCAGAGGCGACATCGTGAACGACTGTTCCTCGTCCTTCTTGTGCGGTAGAGGAGGTGAAGGTCCGAGAGAAGAGACGTCGATAAGGGGCGGCTGCGACGGCTTCCTCGCGCGCGAAGCGGATGTCGTAGCACTGTTACCAGACATGGCAGTCCCAGGCCGCTTGGGCTGGATGAGACTGGATAGAGGGGCGTTATCCTCATCCTCATCGTCTTCATGTGAACTTTCCGAATCCGACGTGCCAGCGTTCCGTGCAGGTTGCCGCTGGTGCGCCGAGATGGCCGACCTTGACGTTGTCTCCGAAGAGTCGTGAACTGGCAGGGAGAATAAGAAAGTACGGGTGCGCTCAATGAGATATCAGTCAACCGAGTGAATGAATGTGCTCACCCGCTGCGGAGCCTCTAGTTGTCTCTGGACCTTGATTGGTAGCAGGCACAGGTGTCATGGAAGACATGTCAGATGATCGTCGAACACGATTGAACGAAGCAGGAGACCCCTCCTCGAAGTTACTAGAACGACTACGCGCTGTCCGTAACGGGGGTGATACGACTAGATTCTGGCCGTGACCGAGCTCTGACTTGCTGCCAGATGACTGTTTTTTCACCTTGTTCGATGAAGCACCAGGTGATCTATGCCCAAGCTCTGAGCGGGCTCTTTGCGTGATGGTCCTTTGACGGCCAGGACGCAACGTGGCTTCAGCGTCCGAATCAGATTCTTCCTCCTCCTCGGACTCTTCCTCTTCTGAGGACGAATTGGTGGGTATTGCAGGCGCAGTCGATCTACGTGGAGGAGGACGGGACTGAGCACGGGGACCCGCAGGCTGTACGCCGGAGGCCCTAGGTGACTGGTTCGGGGTAATCGGTGGTCGGGGCAGATCAAGCGTTGATGGGGGTCGTAACGACGGGACTGGTGAAGGGGCTGCGCTTCGGCGAGCTTGCGCCTCTCGAAAGGCGGCAACGGAAATGCGTTGGGAGGACTCTGATGCCACGCTGTTTCCTCTCGGGCGGGGCGGAGGAGTGGGAGAGAAGGGTATCGATGGTGCAGGGGAGACAGGCCGAGGGGATACGGACGGCGACTCTGCTGGGCCTACGTGGCGGAAGGACTTCAGGTTGAACGACTCCACCGGTGGCGAGGGAGGGCGGCTTGGCTTCGACTTTGTCCGCTCGCGAGTGGCCCAGGAGAACAATCCTCCGGACTTTTTGTCAGCCTTGGGGACAAAAGGGGAGGGCAACTGCTTCGGTTTCTTCATAACGTCCGTCTTGACCGAGTCCTGGGAAGGTTGGCGCGAATGGCCCCGCTCGTTCGGGAGAGACCTGGTCGAGCGTGCGCTATGCGGGTCGCCGTACGCGGGCGACGCGAAAAGAGACTTTTTATCCGGTAGTGGGACCTTGAGAAGGTCTAAGTCTGCCTCTGAAGCGGCGCTGGAAAGGGCACAAGTCTTCGGATCGCGTGCAGCGTTCCCAACGTTCTTCGCCGAGACTACTGCGGGACTCCCATGTCCCTTTCGACGGAATCCCGGCAACTTCAATTTGCTTGACGAGGCACCAGCAGGACCGTTATAAATGTTATGACCGTTGCGAGAAGCCGGGACATTTGATGTCGGTAAGATATATTCAGAGTCTGCCGTGTCGGACTCGCTAGGGGAGTGAACACTTGCCACGCCTGCCGCTTCCTCTGGCGAGCTTTGGTGTTTGTCCCGCTTAGAAAAGATACCCAGCAGCGGCATCGCGGTTGGCGACGGCGACGAGGAGCCTTAGGATGTCGGCCAGCGTTGTAGGATGTGGAGAGGAAGGCTGGACTGCAGCTGCAAGCGAAGACACGAACGTGACGGAGCGCGAGGCATTTCGATCAATTCCGGCCCTGTTTCGGGGCGAGGATCACGCGTTTTAGACGGCAATGTCCAAATCCGGAATTGATTCGCACAGAATTCAGTCTAGAAATGATGTCCGGGATACTTGGTGCTGGTTTTTTTGTGGAAATTCAGAGGAAAAACAAGGAAAACTGGTGTAAGTTTATCTTGGCTGTCGTCATTTTGTCCGTCATTCCCGGAATATTCAACGCCATGCGAGTAACCTGAGGCAAGGTATCGTATGTCTTGTCTGCAGTTACCCTTGCCAGTGTTACTGTCCATACGACAGGCGCCAGTGTGTTTGGATTATCTCCACGAACAAGAATATAACAAGAACGCTGTACGTACTCCAAACTCTCCCACCGCCTCCTGGCGATCGTCTGGTTACACTTTCCCATCCATATATACTTACCTGCAAGTCACGGAGAACAAGCTCCTGTGTGGGAGGGTAACAGGCATCGCAGTTGAACACCTTGCGATACAAAGGCAGAGGCAAATTGCAGACAATGGTGCCTCAGATAATCTGTAATAACTCGTTAGTACTTCAGTGCGTAACAACGGTTTGAGCTTTCTGCGATTTAATACATACAGCTACCTTGGGAACAAGATAGCTTCTCTGATTTTCCATGCTGTTCGAGTGGACACATTAACGGATCTCTTGACCGAGATGGGCGTCCATTCTTCTGCCACATACCATACATGAATGTTCATCGTGGGTCCAGATATCCATGTGAGAGCGGATCGAAGTCCGCCGAAGTCCGAATTCATTCCGGTGGACTTGTATATCCAAGCTTTCCTCTGTATATAGGACACCTCGTTGCAACCGAATCGCGCCATACCATACGGCATAGAAGCACTAGTCAAGTTTGTAGTCGGTATACCGGACCTATAAGGGCCGCGCCTATACGGCAATAGAGATCCAAGGAACACCAGTATGGTAGACAGTCCGCTCAAGCCCATAAGACCTGTCGAAGAACAGCTGTAATGTGATGTGACCTGCTCTACAGTCGCATCCCTTCCGTAGAGCGGCCGCCTAGTTTCCTTCCGTTATGTACCAGGCTCAGAAGTAGAAGTCCGATTTCCAAGAACGATATACATACGCCGTGAAGTCGAGCGTCCAGGCGAATGGGACCCCAAGTCAATCGAGTCATATGCTCTCCGTAGAGCTATCTCGCATCCCAGAGTCGGTACCGAGTAACCTGCAGCGGCAATTAGTAGGGCCAAAGCCATAAGACGCGCAAATCAGCGACATCGACATCCCCGTGAACGATATGGACCAGGAAAATTTTCTCAGCAATCTGAAATGCGCGCTGTACGTTGCGTCGAGGCGAGGACCCAGGGAAGAATTAAGAGGCAAAAGAGCTCTGAACAGCTCAAGTCCAATGTTCCGCGCCTCAGTTCGAGGTGGTCAGTGCGCACCTTCCGCGGAGTGATTGTTGACTCGAACCGTGAGAAAGCCACAGCCCAGAACGACGTCGTTCGTCCGTCCGAGCTCCGCTCCTTCTTCGCCCCTTGTCATCAACCACAACCGTCTCCGCCAGGCGCGCAAGTCGTCCCGCCTCCGCCCTCGTCGTCGCCAACAGCCCTCAACGCTTCTAATCAACAATGGCTCGTACTAAGGTTTGTCGGCGTCCTCGTTTTCATGGAGCGCACATTACTGACGTGTTTTGTCGCGCAGCAAACCGCCCGCAAGTCTACTGGAGGTGGGTCGCCGTTGAGGAGTCGTTGGTGGCATGTGGGGAGATTAAGACATTACTTTCAGGCAAGGCCCCTCGTAAGCAGCTCGCTACCAAGGCTGCAAGGAAGACCGCGACTGCCGTACGTCTCTTCCCATCTTCCTGTGGCATTTTCATCTCACTGTTTTGTGCCACTCGACCTCAGGCGGCCACCGGTGGTGTCAAGAAGCCCCACAGGTTCCGGCCTGGTACCGTCGCCCTCCGTGAAATCCGGAGGTACCAGAAGTCTACCGAGCTGCTCATCAGGAAGCTCCCCTTCCAGCGGCTCGTGCGTGAAATCGCTCAGGACTTCAAGGTACGTTTTTCATTGTGGCTACGGGTGGCAGGTGTCCTAATATGCCAATTTGTGGCGCAGACCGACTTGCGCTTCCAGTCCTCCGCCGTGATGGCTCTTCAGGAAGCTGCTGAGGCCTACCTCGTCTCCCTCTTTGAGGACACTAACTTGGCTGCTATCCACGCTAAGCGTGAGTCCCCTCCCCTTTTGTCCCCGTGTTTCTGACATTGACTTACGTTCCTTCTCAGGTGTCACCATCCAGCCCAAGGATTTGGCCTTGGCCAGGCGTCTCCGCGGCGAGCGCTCTTAAGCAACTACGGCTCTCGTCAGTCTTTTCTTCTTTCCTCGTTATGTTTATAAACGTTGTCTGGTCATGTACCATGTATTATGAGACTCGGTGAGATACGTTCGAACCCTATAATGTGTGTGTAAACCCCATGCTATCCAATTTTTCATGAGAGGTGTGATATGCGCAAGCTAGGATGTGATATGGTGGCTAGTAAAGAAACATTCTAGAGTGTGAGGACCTCAAGTGCAGCAATCCTGCCACCTGTACACAAATGAGGATACAATAACTTGTCAGGGTCTGGGGCTTTCCTCGTTGATGACCTCCATCAGCAAAACGGCATGACCGTCTAAGCGAAGCTAAGACACTCGAGTAGGGTCCGGGAAGGGCAGACGCGGTCCAGCATTGTGCATACACTACGTTCCACAAGGGTGCGTACAGGTTCAACTTGAAGTTCTCTGTTGTTATCGGAGAGGACCGGTTGCAGTTTGTCCCACTTCGGCCGAACGCGGCCACATTCGTTGAAGTACAGAATATGTTCAGGAATACCCTCCCAATCCAAATTATCTCTCGAAGCTACCCTGCGTTCGTTTGGAAAGCATATCCTCATACACTGATGTGTTCAGAGTCGAGGGGACGTGAGTATGAAAGGTAGAGGACCCTCGTCCTTCATGTCGGCCTGGGCCACCGGTTCTTATGACTATCGCGTAGCTCAACGTAAACCCAGCCCGTCAGTATAAATAGAGGCAGTTTATCGTAAGCCTAGGTATCTCGAACTTGAACGTTCGAACCCCCGACTCCCGAGAGGACATGGTGTACAAGTCGGGCCTTGCACCAGTAGACGACATCGGAACCCAGCTTTACTACGAAGACACCGGACCTCCTACCAAGGACTCCACCGAGGCATACACCACTCTGTTCCTGATCCATGGTGCAGTCTTCCATAGCGGTAAGCACGCCAACACTCTTGTATACCACACCTACCCATATTCTCCCGCGACCCAGCCATCTTCCGCCGCCTGCACCCCCACGCACTGCATCACAACCTCCGCATCGTCGCGCTTAACCGGCGTGGCTATCCCAGCTCCACCCCATACACCCACTCGGAACTCGAAGCTCTGCGGGGGCAAGATAAGGACGCGCAGGCGACCCGGCTGCGCGCCCTGGCTCTGCAGATTGCGTCCTTCGTCCACTGGTTCGTCCAGACGGAGAAGATAGGGCAGGCCGCCGTCCTGGCGTGGTCCGCGGGCAACGTCTTCGCGCTGGCTATGCTCGCGCACGCGCATACCTTCCCGCCAGAAATAGCGGGAACCATCGAACAACACTGCCGGTGTATCATCCTATATGGTACGTTGTTTCCTCCTGAGTGTCCCCACCGACCAACCCAACCTAATGCGATACTTGACAGACTGCCCCCAATTCGTGTGCGAGCTCTCCTACGGCCGCACCCACCCGATGTGGGATCCCACCCTTCCCCCGTCCAAACTGGTCCCCACCCTCTACTCACTCATGTCCGGCTACTTCTCGCACCCGTCTCCTCACTCCAGGAATGCCAGCGGCCTCACCCTGACCCGGAACCCGTCCAAAACCCCTAGCATCGACCGCATGACCCCCGCCGAGCTCGCAAGTGTTAGCCACTGCTCGCCGCTGGACAGCCCGGACGTGCTGCTGACAAGGCTGCAGCCCGGGGTAAGGGTGGAGAATTTGGTTGGGGCGCTCAGGGTAAGTGAGAGTGTGTGGCCGGACGTGCAGATTAAGTTGGTACCCTGCATGGAGAGCGCGTGGGAGATGCTCACTGCGCGCTGGGAGATCGAGAGGCGGCATGAAGAGCTCAGGGCGGGCGGGGTGCCCGTCCGGACACTCAGCGTGCACGAGCAGTGTGGTGCTAACCACTTCGTGAGTGGCCCCACCCGACTGATGCCGAGGTGAAACCCATACCTCCTGTTGCTTTCTCCGCCTTCGCAGGCGCATTGGGATATCCCAGAAGAAACGATGCAGTTCTTAGCAAATGTGATACGATCGTAACTAGCGTCTATTGCAAGCATCTACAGCCCCCCAGGTTTTCCATCAATCAACCCAGGTGGGGTCCCCATCAAACACCACCCTCGGATTATAATGCGCGCCCTTGAGCATCTTCGCCGCCTCCATGCGCGTCTTCACCGTCCGGTGCACCTTCACCCCTGCGCGCAGATGGTGCTTCGGCAGCTCCCGTGGCCTCCCGAGATGTATCCTAGCCACACACACGATAGTCAGCAAATAAATCAATTTTCCTTCCTTCCCATCCTATCCCACACAATTAAATGCAGGGAAGAGTGAAGAGTGAATAAAGACGGATACGCACGTCCAACACGAAAACCAACTCGCGTTCTCCGCCTGCTGCCTCACCCTAAGGGGCAGAATCTCGAGTATCCACCACCACTTCGCAATCGTCAGCTCATCATACAGCGGGCACAGCGCATCCGCCAGATCCTCCTCCTCCTCGCTCGCCATCTTCCCCACCTTCCCAAACTCGATATCCTTGCTCCCCGGAATCGAGTCCGCGCACTTCCCCTCCGCCGCTACCTTACTCAGGTGCTCACACAGCACCGTATTATCTCGTAACCCCAGCGCGGGCGGGCGCGGCTGGACGGTCGGGTATAAGGCGGCGGGGTCCACCCCGAAGGCGCGCAGCGCGCGGCCGTGGAAGAGGATGCCCGTGCGCGCGAGGAAGCATTGGCGCACCATCCAGCGCAGCGGGATGCGCGAGAGGCTGTGCGGCGTGTCGTTTCGCACGGAGCCGCCGCCGACGTCGGCGTGGCAGCCCGCGAACCACACTTCGAGGACGTCGGTCTTCGTCCAGCCCCTGCCCTTCGTCTTCTTCTGGGTGTGCTTGCCCTTGTCAGTGTGTTTCCCATCGCCGTTGTCGTGTTGATCGGGATGGGCGGCGCGCCGGGAGGAGCGCGGCATGTCGCCGGGCTGCGTGCCGAGCTTTTCTTGCTCGGGCGAGTGGCGGTGCCAGTGGTTGACCTTGAACTTGGCGCGGTGCTCGTCGAGCGAGACGGCCTGGCGGAAGGTCTTGATGGACGTGTTGTTCGTCGTGAAGGGGAGGTGCCGCGGGATGAGGCCGACTGAGGCAACCGTGTCCCTGTGGGCGTGAGTGATGCGAACGCGTAGCATGAACGAGTTGAGCAGTGAGAAGTGAGAAGAGGTAGATGCGTGGAGGACAGGGCGGACTCACCACACCCCGAGGAACTCGATGTCGACGTCGATGCAGAAGGCCTTCTTGAACGCGGTGCTCTGCGCCCAGCCGCGGTCGTCCTCGCGCCTGAACATCTTGTATGCGAACGGGACCGTCTGGCGGTTCCCCGGCGGCAGCAGGCCGACCTGGAGTCAGCGGGGGCGTTAGTGGTGTGCGAGGAACGGTGTAAGGGGGAAGGCGCTGGAGGTATGGAGGGGGGAGAGCTCACTTTGTGCAGCATGCCGGCGAGGGCGCGCGCAGTGTAGGCGCCCCGCGAGAAGCCGAATATGCATATCTTGTCTCCGGCGCGGTCTGCACGCAAGCGAAACGGGACGCAAATGTTAATCAGTCCTTTGCATCTGAGAACGGGACACCTACAGTGGCTCATCAGAAACTCGTACCCGCCTGCCATTAGCAAAACCCATTAGGCGGATATATACATCTAACTGCTATGTGAGCCTACCTTGGACGTGGTAGCTGAGGCTCCAGGCGACGGCCTGGTCGGCAAGCTTCCAGAACGTGCGCGTGAAGGAGTTGACGGTCGCGCCGGGGCCGGTGTACGTGCCTATTCCGGTCTGTGCAAGAGCGGTTAGCAGGAATGGGAGAAGCAAACGCAGTGCCGCACCTGGTAATAGACCATCTGCTCATCAGGGTCGTGCTTCTTGAGCATGGAGACGAGCTGGACGACGTTCGAGTTCTGCGAAGGCAACGCGAGTCAGGCCGGGCAGCAGCGGAGGACTGCGGGCTGGCACTGACGTCGTCGTCGAACTGGTCGCCGGTGCCGTCGAAGCAGAGGATGAGCGTGCGCGCGGCGTGCATCGCGGGCACGACGTCGTCCTCGTCGTCGGCATAGCCGTCGATGCGCGCGGCTTTGCTCTGCGCGTCGTCGGTCGGGGAGCCGGTGTCGGAGACGACGGTGTCGCCGCTGATGCTATGGGTAAGTGCGGACATGACAAGGCGTGTGCTCGTATCTGCGCTATAGAGCACGAGCAGTTTATATACTCGGTCGGTGTAGTACTTGCTCCGATATCGGTGAGTGAATTGAGGGATCGGTTTGGCTAGTCCGCTGCCGAGGAGAGTCAGTCATAGAGTTCAGGGTCGTGTGTTGAGAGAAATATTGGGCATCCCGTGGCTGTCTTCGATGCATCCTGTCAGTCTGTCAATGTCAACAATCTGCAGTCCAGCGTCGGCGGACTTGCAGTGCTGGCGAGCGGCGAGCTGTGGGGTATCGTGTGGATGGCTGAGCTGGTGCAGACACTTCGGGAGTTCAACTCTTTTGGCTGGGGCAAAAGGTGTTGGGATTGGATTGTATCGGACGCTTTCAGTAGCCACAATAAGGCCGCAGGGCCGCGCTCGTGCGCAGCAGAACCCGCTACCTTTGACTCGAACTGTGTGTAGACAGCAGCTTCGAATGGGGCTCCTCAACCTCCTGCAATGTATTGATAATTTCGGAGACCTATGGTCCAGGACATGTATAACATATCACCACAAGTCTCGGAAATTTATATCAGAACTGAATAAGGCAGTCATGTTCTTCAAGCTCCAGATCTCCGGTCTCAACCACTCCTTATGAATTGAATGTCCTGCCACTTCTATGCATCCCTCTTGCCTGAGTGTTCAAGTTCCTCTGCCTGTCACTACTGTGTCAGTGGGCCGGCATTCAATACCATTCACCCTCTGTTTCCTTTTGTGATACTGTACCGATACGACCTTAGGCAACGTCCCGTGTCCCGAGAGGTCCGTCGCCGTTGCCTATTTTGAGATTTGTCCCGTGTCCCGGACACCTCGTTGCTTGGGGCCCCGGAGCCTAAATCCGCGCTAAATGGGGATAAATGAACAAATTTATTCGCAGGTGCTTTGGAAACCCTCTTGAAGCTTCTTCTGAGTCTTCTCTCAGCGATTTGAGCCTCAGATCTATCTGAGGAGTGTATCAACATTGCATTACCCTCACCTTAGTACGCGCAACTGCAGGTTGCGTTGCATGTGTCCCTTGTCCCGACGGAGACGTTGCTTGACCTGCCACATTCCCACGGTGAATTACATAAGCCGTTGCGTTGCCTAAGGTCGTATCGGTACAGTATGTTTTGATGTCACACTTCCCTTATTTGGGACTTTAGGGCAGGTTTCTCCCGATCTTGCAAATCTACTTTGTAAGTTGTTCACATCAAGGACGCTAAAACCCACTACCAAAGGTAGCGGGAATAACCAAATAGGTACAAGCAGCTTCGCATTTTTGGTAATTGTTCTACGGGATATACTTTTCCTTAGTCCATTGCTCTACACTAGCATCTTGTTTGTGTCTCACTGTGCTCTACAGTCACCTGCTCACGTCATGATCAGGTGAGTTCAGCTGAGCTGATTGGGTATCCTGCATCCAGACCTGAAGTCGCACCAAAACTAGCCTGGTCATGCAGAGAAAAGGCTGGATGATGCAGTCATGACCAGGTGGTCTGGTTCTGACTGGTCAAGCCCAGCTGACATGGTCAATTTGTGGCCAGCCCAGCACAGCCAGTATATTTGTGTCATGTCTAAATTCAAATTACATTCTATTCAGTCACTTATTGCAGCATTTCACAAAATATTCAATTATGTTCTATGCTAAACACTTACAGCTGTTTTCCCAACATAAGGCATGGCGTGACTTTTCGCATACCAAATGGCCTTTGGTAAAGAAAAATCTGTAGCAGCCGCATTCGGGCTCGGATGGTGCTTTGAATCTGTATATAGGGGTTTGTGATATAGAGGCAAAGCATGGAATTGAAAGAACAATGAAATTCAGTGCAGGGGTGCTGTCTACAGGAGGGGTAGCAAGCATGTACCAATCCAGGCGGCCAGAGCTCAAGGGCTGCCAATTCGTAACACAGTAACAGAACACATTTCTGAGTATTGGAACTAAAAGAGGGACATATATACACGGATTCAACATACCTATCATACATTTAGACACTGTATTTGATTTTAAAGAGCATGTACAAGAAAATCAATCCCTAGGAGGAGTAGCAAGCTTCCCCTTCAGTCCCAGCTAGACACATGGGTCCAGCAAATTTTAGACATGTTTGTACCATACTGTAGATTATGTGTGCCAGGTACCAGGGTGGTAGGATATCTGCTCCCTAATTGACAGCCTGAATACTCCTGGATTGGTCTTTAAGCAGGCATACATGTGCCAGATGAGTGAATCAAAATCTGAGGTACACACCGAACAAGACAGCAATCAACCCCATTCACAAGTCATGATGTTATCTGCTACTCACCAGCCGCACCAGTGGAGATCATAGTAGAACAGTGGCAGCAACTGGTGTCAGAGATGAACACTGGAGGGACTGGTGAGACAAGCTGACCGTGTGCATTGTAACACCGCCTACATGCCATATTATTTTGTCAGTACATCAAGAAATTGGAGAATATAAGATACTAGTGAGCTTTGGCAGCTGGTGCCATAGAAGGACTTATGTATACACACCACTTTGAGGCTGGAAGACAGCTTATGTTTTGACACTTCAGAGATATGTCTGTAAATATAAGCCTGTCGCCCAATATTTTCCCACCTTATAAATGGTGCAACTCCCGCAGTGTCTCCTGTCTGCCCAGAAAAATGCCACTGGACCTCCTGGATCCCGAAGCTCACCCAGCCCGATTAACAACAAGCTGATTTTTGAACATATAAACTCGAGGCGTTGATCTCAACAAGCTATGATACAGTAATTTTTATGCAATTTGAAGAAAGCTCAACTAATACACAAAGGAGGGCTAAGCTGCCGACAGCCGTCGGCGCTTATCGAATTGCTTACCTGGGCGCCCCCCGAATTAGGTGGCCCTCGTAGCGCATCCCGCTAGACTCGCCCCTCGCCACCCTGCACATCCCACACAGCCCATAAACAGGACAACAAGCTTATATTCTGACAACTAGTAGAACTAGAAGACCGGATGGACATGAGAGAGCACGACGTCGGTGGCGCGCAGTTCATCCTCGAGCCGTCGGGCAGGGTACATAGAGAGAAGGGCCTCCGCCGCCGTCCAGGGCGTGTCCCTGTCTCGTGCGCAGAATGTCGTCGGTGCGTGACTCTTCCCCGTCCTTTCACGTCCCTTGTGCCCTTCGCTGACTTCACTCACTCGTTGTCCAGGCTCAAGATACGCTGTGACCGTAAAGTGCGTTGGCCTGATGGCCGTGGAGGTTGGAAGGATGCGTGGATTGACAGAACTGCAGATCCCTTGCGAGGCGTGTATCAAGAGGGGGTGCTCGGCCATCTGTCCGGACGGTAGGGCACTTCCTATAGGGCTCGTACTAATGCTCACGTATCTGGTACGTAGGATCCCTCGTGGTCGACAAGAACAACCGGTACATACTCCCCTCTCCTCTGACGAACACAGATTTGACACCTACACGCCCCAGCCTCGTTCTCGCCAATACCGAAGAGCTTCACGACGAGATCGACCGGCTGCGCGTGCGCCTGCTCGAAGTCGAGCAAGAACTCCGCCTAGCCAAGGAGAAAGAGAAAGAGACGTCGCGTTCGCCGCACAGGAGCACGGACAGCTCCGCGGGCTCGTCCCCGCTCACGGGTCTCGATGCGGGCTCGCCGCCCAGCACGTCCAGCCTGTGTGGGCAGGAGGGATTGACGGAGGAGGAGGAGGAGAGCTTTATTGATGCGTTCGGTGAGTGTTGGCGATGCAGGGTGCCACTGGAGCGCAGGGCTCATTGGCGGGTCAGGCTCGTTGACGATTGGGCCGAGGGGAGAGACAAAGTTCTTCGGGAAAACCGCGCGGTCAGAGGTGCGCCTTTTTATCCCCTTCCTCCCCACTTCCTCCAACACGCCCGTCTCGCTCGCCAGTTCCTCATCCACGTAAGCCCACCCCGCTTCCCCCTTCCCACTCGTAACCCCAAACACTCACCCTCAGGCCAATGTCCGCCGCCCGTACTTCAACACCGAGTTCCCCGCCCTCTCGAAAGCGCTGCTTGACGCGTCTACGTCCGCGCCGCAGTGCTACCGCCGCTCGATCGCGTGCGAGGAGCCCGTGCGGCGCGAGCTGCTCCAGGCGCTCCCGCCGCTCAGCGAGGCGTGCCGGCTGTGTGAGATCTTCCTGGAGCACGGGCGGTATATGTAAGTGTTTGGTTTCGTGTGTGGGGGGAAAGCGCTGACGAGAATAGGTATTGTCCACTCCCGAGGGAAGAGGTGTTCGACGAGATCCTGAGCAGCGTCTACCGCGCGGGGTGCGTCGCCCTCGGCCCTCCCTCCCTCTCCTCCTATCCCCTATTAACCCGCCTACCAGCCTCCCGACCCTCGACGCGCCCGACGCCGTCGCGCTGCTCTTCATCCTGCTCGCGCACGCGACGTACGCGGACCCCGCGCGCGCGCCGTACGCGTCCGCGTCGGACGACTTTTACATCCTCTCGCGCGTCGCGCTCAATTTGATGCCGCCGCTCAGGGAGACGACGGTGATGTGGGTGCGCGCGTTCGTGAGTGTCTTCGTTTTCTTTGCTAGGTTGGTGTGCGGAGTGAATGGGGGGTAAGGGATGGGGCTTAAGGGAATGGGTGCTGATTCAGAGTACGGACAGGCGTACCAGGCGCAGTACACGGAGCTGCGTGACTTCGAGGGGACAAGTATGCCATGGATCGATATCAGCAACGCGTTCAAGTTCGGGCAGAGCGTGCGTTCCCCCCCTGTCCTCTCTCCTTTCCTTCCTTTCCCCCTAACCCCCCGGGCGTGTAGATCGGCTTGCGTGAGTGATATGGTGTTCGCAGTTGTGATGAGGGTGGGGTACTGAAGAGACATAGATTTGAAGAGCAGTAGGTGGAAGCTGGACGAGCAGACGGCGCGGAAGCGAAGTAGCCTGTTCTGGCAGCTGTTCGTGGCGGATGCTTGGTTGGTGCGTGGGGAGTCATCTGCGCGTGTGGATGCTTACTTTGTCCTCTGCGCTGATCGAACAACGAACAACCCCCGGGCGGATCGATACTATAATACAACTGAATGCACTATGGACGGCTACGGATGAACAGAGCTTCAGCTTCGGCCGCCCGCCCGCGATGGACATGAGCTACCTCGAGTGCGACCTACCCCCGGACGAGGAGGAGACGCTCGACGCGAGCGGGAACAGACAAGTCGGGTGTACGCCCCCTTCGTCCCTCCCTACCCTTCTCATGCTCACGCACGTATGTATACACCAGTCCACCAGTGGGTCGTGCACTACTCGCTGATGATGCGCACGGTCGTGATGCCCGCCGCGTTCGCGGCCAAGACGCCGCCGTACGCCGCGATCCTGGACCTGGACAGGAAGGTGAGGGAGTTCTACGTGCCCGAGCGGCTGCGCCCCGTGTGCGTGCAGATCGACCGCGCGACGCCGATGTACGTGCATATGCAGCGGTGGATGGTGCTGTCCTACCGGGAGAACAGTTAGTGCCGTTTTCCTGGCTTGCACCGGGAATGATTGGAGGATATGAACTGACGTAATGGGGTGGGTCAGCGCTGCTGCACCTGCACCGCGGGTACTTCGCGCAGGCGCTGCAAGACAGCCCGGACGAGCCGCTCAAGCACAAGTACGGCCTGTCCGCGATCGCGGCGTACCGCTCCGCATACCGGCTGATCAAGTACTTCGACGAGCTGTTCGAGGAGTTTGCGTACCCCATCGACCGCCTCAGCCTCGGGTGGTCGCATATGCTCACGGCGTCGGTAAGTTGCTTTGTCTTGAGCTTGTGAGGGCGGGTGGGGGAATGCTGATACGGTTGGGGTAGATTGTGATGTGTTTGTTCATTACGAGGTCGAGGGTGTCGAAGATTACGAGGAGCGCGATGGAGATGCTGGATGCAGCCCACTCATTCTTCACTAGAGCGGCGGAGACTAGCAGGGCGGCTGCTCACAGTCTGGTACGTATGCGCTTATGTTAGTTTTGTCTTATGCTCACAACGCTTGAAGGACGTGGTCCAGCGGCTCCACCGCCTCGCGCACAGCACACTGGACAACCTGCAGGGCGCCGACGCGGTCCTCCCGTGCTCGGAGCTTGACCGGCTGGGCGGGAAGACGACACTCACGGCGGACCCCGAGTCCCCGCCCGCGCAGCCGCAGCCCTCCCCTACCCCAAGCCAGTTCCAGTTCCTCGAGAGCCTCCCGGGGAACACGCACCCGACGATCATGCGCGACATGATGGCGTTCGAGGGCGCCGCGGAGGAGGTCAGGCCGCCGCAGAGTATGTTTGACTTCCCGCCCGTGAGCGTGCAGCCGCCGCCGCTACCGGTGTGGGACTTTGGCGGTGGGTTTGAGTGGGCGCAGTTTGGGAATGGGGTGGAGGGGGCGGGAGCGGGAGGGGTGCCCGTCGCGCCGCCGGTTCCGGATGTACCGGAGGAGCAGCCGTTGGTGCTGGATTCGACGTGGCAGAGTTTCGTGGAGCAGTTGGGGATTGAGCAGATTTGAGTTGGGTTCATTGGTGGTGTACATATTTCATTGGTATATATTAGCCATCGCGCTTATACTCTCTAACGACTTTGAACTATGGATCGTGCGGAATTCGCAGGGAGACATGGTTACCAGGTGTTACTTTGGTAGGCGTTCATTGCAGAATCATGAGGACGTTGTCACATGCTAGCAATTCTGACTGACGGGCGGACATCATACGCATCTGCCGACGTGTCTCAGCGGCTTGCATGGCTGTCAGCCGCTTATTCGCCTCCCGACATATATCCCTGTCAAGGTCATTTACACCTAGCCCGAGGCACCTCTTTCTCAGAGCATCCTTCCATTCACACAGCATCCACGATGGTGAAACCTAAAGCGGAAGTTATCGAGCAGTTTAATGACGGGGTGAATATGGACGCGGAGGAGCTGGAGCAGTGGGTAGAAGGGGATAAAGCTAAGAATGCGGGTACCGGGGTAGGTTTGGAGAGTGGGCGGAAGATTGCGGACATTTTGAAGAGGAATCCGGACAAGGATCCGGAAGGGTACGAGGATGTAAGTTTTGATGTAGTTGGCATGATGTACCACGATTGACCAGAGTGAATTATAGGAGGATATAGGCCACATGAGAAAAGTGACGGGGTAAGCCCTCGTTCAGTAGTAGTGATTGTCGAAGTTGTTCATTGACGGATGGTGGTTGGGTTTAGGTACATCGCACGCCACTTGGCGCAGGAAGATCACTTGAAAGAGACGAAGACGAGGAATGAGCTTGAGAATGCCAAGAGCACCATCAGGTATGCGTTTGCTAGTGCATTAAAGAGTTCGTGTTACTTACCTGATTGTTTTCGGTCAGCTTGAAGAATTGGGGACACGTAGGCCTCAAGGTTGTCAGGTAGATGCTGGGCTCGCTAACATGGGTCTCCGTAGGATCCCGTGAAAGCCATGGACGAGGATGAAAACCGAAAGATAGAGGCCAGAGGGGTTGTGCATGAGCCAGAACACTCCTCTGACGACGAAGGGTCGGGGGATAGCGTTGGAGAAAGTCAAGAAGCCCCGTGTGCCAAAAACCGCGGCACGAAGCGAAGTAATCCAGACTCGAGCAAAGGAGCTTGCCCTGCAAGTCCCGTAGCACAGGAACCACTGGATACAGGGTCCCAGAAAAACGAAGGATCGCAGAGCGGGGATAAAACAGACAACTCAGATGCAGACGTTGCAACACCGCCGCGGAAGAGAGCAAGGACTGTAAAGCGACACAACGATGATTCCTAGGACACGACTGTAACGAGACTCGCCTGGTCAAAGGGATGTATCGATAATTTCAGAGGGTCACGAATGTAAGCAGACACTGCCCTGTATCCTGATGGCGAGCCACAAACACGTTCGCGGTATTTGTGGCTGCAGGGCTTCCCACGGTTGCATTGACGACAGTGTGGGAAACTAGGATCTAGGATAGCAAATTACAGCTTGATAGGTTCTTGCCAGTTTCGACGGACAGCTGCAATCTATCTGTTTATTGTCGCGGCCCATTATCACTGCTTTCGACCTTTCAATTATCTATGCTGGCCGCCCAATATGCCCGTCCTAGTTGAAACGGTTACGGAGCCCGCGCAAGGCCTATACGAGGCCCGGGGGAATATAACAAGAATTTCGCCCATTCCCTGTTACCCACAGACGCATGATAAATCTGTGGCTTTGAATACAGCAGAGACGCTTGCTGAGACGCCGGCAAGTCCGAAGAAAAAGAAGAAGAAGAAGGCCAAGAAGGCCAAGGCGAAGGAGAACGGGAAGGTTAAGGTGGAGGAGGTACAGGATACTCGGCCACCAGTTCTCTGCATCAGCAGGAACAAGCATTGGCGTTACATCAGCTCGTATCACGTATGTCTCCATATTTTGTACTGCTTTTCCTGTGCTAGAACGTATGGAAGGGTCCATGGCTGCAACTTCCGGTAGAGCTCCTCGAGAGCCTGCTTGTCCTGAACATGGACCCAGCCACCTTGACCGCCTCAGAACCCCGCGTCCCGCCTATCCCCCAATCCCCCTCGCACACTCCTCATTCGCGCCGACGCGACCGGGGCTTCGCTAGCCTAGGCGACTACTCACCCCCCGACTCCCCTTACGACACCTTCGCGCACCTTCCTCCCCCTCCACCATTACCAACACCTAAACCGGGAAAGGCCACCCCACCTCCTATCGATCCAGGCGTCTTCCGCTCCGTCGCCTCTATCCGGCGGCTCATCGACGAGGCCTCCGAATTGAGCGTCCGCGCGAGCTCCGGGCTGAGCGCTGCCGCGCTGGTGTCCATGCGCGACGCAAGCCGTATCGGCAGCAGCCCCTGGGCGACCGCGCAGGCTCTGGGCCTGAACCCGCTCGGCGACACCGGCGGCGGGCGGAGCGTCGCCATGAGCGCGATGCGTGTGCACCGGCTCCGCGCCCTCGCGGTGCAGAAGCTTGCGGCGGCGTATAAAGCGGACGAGATCGCGTCGAGCGTGATGGTCATGCAGGGCGGGAGCGTATTTGATGACATCGCCGAGCGCGTCTTGAAAGTCGGTGCGTGCCCCTGTTCTTTCCGCCGAGCGCTTGCGAGACGCCGTTGCAGATCCTAACGACGTGGACGCGCGATACGTGCATTTTTTCCATGAGAAGATCCCCTCCCGGTTGGTCCGCAATCGTGTTGTAATCAGCAACAGAGGCTAATTACCACAGTGGCACCAGTCAACTCGCCGAGTCCACCACGACTCAGGTCTTGGACGAGCTCATAGCCGCTCATCCACATCGACTCGAGTTTTATCGTACTCGTGGCATCGTACATTGTTTCCGCGATGAATACACGCTAGCTACCAAAGACTTCACGCATGCGATTAAAGAAGCTAGGGCGCAGCGGAAAGCGCGGATGGCACATATGAATAATATCAACCAGCCTGAGCCTCGGGCTAAGAATGGGAAGAAGAAGAAAAAAGGGAAGGGGCCCGGGAGGAAGGCCAATGATCAGGCGACTGAGAATGGCACCGGCGACGTTGGGCCACCAGGGGCTGCAATTGAAGGCCCAGACGGCGAGCAGCTGTTACTGCACCCTTCCGTTCTGCCCGACGCTCCCGAGCCCATCGAGCCACAGTGCTTCTTCCTGCGCGCTGCGGCGCATCTCCAGCATGCAGTCTTTCTAATTGAAGAAGCCATCCTGAAGCTGGAAGGGATTCGCAAAGACCCCACAACCGACGGTGCGGAGCTGCGATTGTGCTACATCGAGAATGGGCGGTACGGCGGCGTGGAGATCGGGAATCCCGACGGACCCCTGGGGCGAACGGACGGAGCCAAGTGCCGCGCGTATCGCGGGGTTCTCGGGACAGACGCGTTCCGCGAGCAGGTGGTCTTGCTGCTCAGGAAGAGCATCCGCGACCACGAGAAGTTCCTCGCGCACTTCGACACGCTGGAGGGCGGGTGCGACGCGTTCTTCACCGAGGGTGACCTAGCTGCGCGCACCGAGTACGCGTTCCTGCTGATGGAGTCGTTGCGGCCGGGCAACCACTCGGCGGCCCCGCCTCTGCCGACGCAGGACGCGCCGGCGATGTTCACGACTTACCACCCGTTGATCGTCGAGAGCCATTTTAGTATCTTGCTCTGCCAGATGATGATGGGCGATTTTGTGGGGCTGGTGCATGCGTTTGCGCGAACGGCTGCTTTGGTGGATGGGCTGGAGGGATACCCCGTGTTTTTGCCGCCGAGGAGTATGGCGCATGCCGAGTTTGTGGAGATATTGGAGAGGCTGGCGAGGGGGTGGAGAGTGGGCGTGGTGGGTACCCGCAGGAAGGATGGCAGGGGTGGGAAGAGTAAGGTTTTGACCATTGAAGCGCCTCCTCCGCCCTTGCCCGAGCGAGAGAGCACGCCCGAGGACGAGAGGGACGCGTCCGAGACGGACACGATCGGCCCGTCTGCGTCCAGCTCGAGCATCTCGTCCGCGTGTGGGTCCACAACGTCCACCTTCGTCGGGTCGTCCTCATCCTCGCCGACCTCGTCACCCGTCACGTCGCCAGCGCCTGACCCGATGCTGGTGGAAAACCTGATGTGCGCGCGGGTGCTGCTGGCGCCGGTGGTGAAGCGTCAACGGGAGCGCGCGGAGGAGAAACGGAGGGAGCAGGCGAAGGGGGGGAAGAAAGGCGTTAGTATCAATATACCGATGCACGGCCCGCGGGTGGAGATCGTGCTTGCGTGGCTTGGGGCGACGGCGCTAAGTGAGATGGAGGCGGTTGCTTAAGGTGTTTTGTGATAGTAAAATATGTTTATTTATGCGTATGCTATGAGTGGGCGGATGGGATGAAGGAAGGCGCTGGAGCTATTCGTCTTTGGCTTTGACGTCTTCGGCGATATCGCGTGCCAGTGTGTCCATGTATTTGTAGGCTCTGCCAGCGAGGAGGCTAGCAACGCAGATTAATGGGATGAGTCCCAATAGGATGGGCGTCACCGATGCTGGGATGATTCCAAGCTGTAGCGGTTCGAGCATGATAATAAATGGAACCGGTTCTAAGGACTGGTTGGTTCGGGGAGGAGTTGGCACACCCGTATGCACAAGGGTTATTTTCGCGAACTTGATACGGGTGGAGGGGAGTCTCCGGACGGTTGTGTCGGGATTAGGGTAGGAGGAGCTGGACCCAGGAGAGTCGATGGTTATTCTGAAGTCGGTTGGGTGCTGAGAGTGAAAGTAGCGTCAATGCGAATTATGTGCACGGTCACCGCAGGGTACGCACCGATGCCGGCCAGGAGATCCGGAGCGTAAATTTTGTGTAGCTTTTCCATCGTTCTTGGTCGAGGTCCAGGAGTACCCAAATCTCTCCCGGGGCCAACGAAGCCGCTTGGAATGACGTGTCTGCGAGATCCAGCCGTTCTTGCGGTTCAGTGTCTGGTAGAGCTTGCAATGTCATAGGCCTAACTTCCAAGATCGCCTCATTCTTTTCAGGAGTAAGATGCAGCCTATAGGCACAAAAAATCAGCTATTATAAAGAGACACGTTGCTGATCCACCCACCAGCCCTCTATCGACGAAGGCATATATGCGTCTTCCACAATAGCAGCATGGAGATTGACGATTTCGGTGTTTCCTGAGACATAAAGAAACTGTGTAGCAAGGAGGAGAATAAGTGAATATCTGCCCAAATACATAAACATATTCGCAGAGGAAATACCAGGCGGACGTGGTGAGTCGTGATGCGATCGACGACAAGCAGAGCTACATACAGTAGGGGTAGGGTTACATTGCATGCAAAATCTTATCTTATCCTGTGACGCCACAACTTCGATAATCTCATCGAGTCACGCGCAAAAATAACATTTCTGAATGTATTTCCTGGCCCGTCCAACTCTCCGTCCTATCCTCACTTATCGATTGCGCACCCTCCAGCCCCGCCGCGCCATGGCGACAATGAATATCGAGTCCGCTCAGGCGTCGTTGCTGAACCTCGAGGAGGAGATCTCGAAGCAGACAGCTCTCGTCAATGAGCTCCGGACAAAGAACGCGGAGACGAGTGCTTTGGAGGAAGCGAAGAAGAAACTGGGCGAGCTGAAGAAGACGCTGGCGTTGAGCAAAGGCGCGGGAGGAAGCAAGGAGGGGAAGAAGAAAGAGCGGCTGCTACTGAAGACTGCCAAGGTGCGCAGTCACCTCTAGATTCAGCCTTCCGTCATAATGCTGGACAGTAGGGAACCCGAGACTATGGACCAGCCGAGATGCACTGCAAGGAGCACATTGAGCGCACCGTGAAGGCCGTCTTCTCCCTTTATGGTGGCTCACAACTGGACACGCCTGTCTTCGAGCGGAAAGACATCCTCACAGACAAATACGGCGAAGACTCAAAGCTCATCTTTGACTTGATGGACCAAGGTGGAGAGCAACTAGCGCTACGCTACGACCATACTGTGCCATTAGCACGATGGCTAGCAATGCAGGGCAATGCGGCCAGCAGCACTGGACAGAGTAAAATCTGGCAAGTGGGGAAGGTGTACCGCAGAGATAACCCAGTGATGAGCAAGGGCCGAATGCGGGAGTTCTCACAAGCTGTGCGCGTCACAACTACAGGTTCCTTGATATGTTCCCTAACACAACACAGGACTTCGATATTTCCGGCGTCTGGGACCCGATGATTCCAGACGCAGAGATCATATCGTTAGTGGCCACTGTCTGCTCGAGGTTGGATGTCGGGGATTTCCTGATCAAGGTGAGTGGACGTTGACTTACATATGTAGCCTTACTGACTCAAAGTAGATGAACCACCGAAAAATCCTGGACGGTATCTTCGAAGTTTGCGGCGTCCCGCCAGAAAAGATCCGAACGATCTCCTCTGCTGTAGACAAACTCGATAAGGTATGTCTCGTCGACCTGACACTGTTGGCTACCTAACACATCATAACTAGCTGCCTTGGGCCGAGGTCAAGAAGGAAATGACAGTGGAGAAGGGTCTGCCAGAAGACATTGCAGACAAAATTGGCGAATACGTCAAGCTAAAAGGCGGGCCCGCACTGCTGGAGCAGCTCAAAGCGGATGAAGTACTCATGGCAAATAAGAGCGCAAAGCAAGGTGCTGAGGAGATGACAATATTGTTCACGTTATTACGAGCATATAGATGTCTAGAGAAGGTAAGTGCACGGTTCGATAACTGCACTAGCTGAGTGCTCAAGTCTTGTAGGTATCCTTTGACATGTCGCTAGCCCGCGGACTGGACTACTACACCGGTCTCATCTATGAAGCCGTCGTCGAAGCCTCAGCACCCCCAGCCTTCAAATCCGCCGACGCGCTTGCGGGCACCTCCACGCCCGCACCCGAAAAGCCGAAGAAGAAGGCGTCGCCCAAGTCTACCGACGGCTCCCTCGAAGAGGAGGAGGAGATCGACGAGTCGCAGGTAGGCGTGGGCTCCATCGCCGCGGGCGGGCGGTACGACAACCTCGTGGGCTCCTTCGTCGCGAGCGCGGCGGGCGACGAGAAGAAGGCGGCGAAGGGCGGGCTGCCGTGCATCGGCGTGAGCTTCGGGCTCGACCGCGTGTTCGCGATCGTCTGGCCGAAGTGGGTCGAGCGCGGCGTGCGCACGAAGGACACGCTCGTGTACGTCATGAGCGCAGGCGACGGGCTGCTCGAGGAGCGCATCGAGCTCGTGAGGGAGCTGCGCGAGGCGGGAATCAAGGCGGACTTTTTGGCAAAGGCCAAGCCGAAGCTGCCTGCGCAGTTTTTGGCGGGTGAGAGGGACGAGGTGCCGTTTGCGGTCATTTTGGGCGGGGAGGAGTTGGCGAAAGGACTGGTGACGGTGAAGGAGCAGCGGTGGGAGCTGGTGCCAGGCCAGGGCAAGCGGAAGATTGAGAGTGCGGATAAGGGAACGCATGTGAAGAGGGAGGAGTTGATTGACTGGCTCAAGAGTCGGGACGGTTGGAAAGCGTGGGTGGCGGGTGAGAGTTAGGTTGTTGGTTTAGGCGGGGTATTCGTAGATGTGCAAGCCTGAATGTATTATTTTTGCTTTTACAGTTTTTCGGTTTCAGGAGAAAGCTACAGCCCGCTGAGCTGAAGGCCACGGTGTGAACATTGCAGACTCAGACCAACGCGTGGTTCATCAGCGTAGACAGGCACTATTAACCCTTCGTGATAATACAGCGGAGCATTAACTCTACATTATATCCTTCTATTCTTCATCAGTCCCAGATCCAGAGCCAGAACCTTCCTCTCCCTCGTCATCTAGTAACACGGAGTCAGTGAGATTCATAGAACTCCTTCAGAGCAACAGGCGTACCAGACGCAATATCATCCCGAGACACGCTTTTCTGCGCTTGTGCTTTGCGGAACAGGGCGCGTATCTCGGTGTCTTCTGGCTTAAGCAGGTCCGCCGCGGTGTCTCCGTTCTTATCCTTAATCCTACACATCATGGACCGTGTCAGAGGGAGCTTGGTGAAAGCGAGGGGTAAGGTCAAGCATACGTGACATCGGCGCCAGCTTCCAGGAGGCTCTCCACCACGGCCTTCCTCACCTCTGGATCTTCAATCTGAACAGCTAGATGTAGCGGCGTGGCTTTCTCTAGTCGGTTGATAGGATCGACGTCGCATTCCTCATGAGATAGGATGTGCTCCAAGACGTCTAGCGAGCCGTTTGATGCGCTGTAAAGTGACAGACAGGGGGAATCAGAAATGGGAGTGACACGGAGGGACAGATGATACATACTTACGCGTAGTGCAGCGCTGGAAGAGGTGGAAAGTGGTTTAATTAGGATATCACGCTCATATCCCTAGCAGAGATATCGAGTCGTACCTGTGTTACCGAGACTGCCATCAATCGTAAGTAGTAAGCAAAAATGCGACCTGAGACCACCCACCCGTCCTGGAAGTTTATGTCGAACCCGCCTTTCTCGAAGACGTCAAGGAGCATATCCTCATTGTCAAGCCGCGCAGCTGCGAGCAGCCTCTCGTCTGAGCAGGCCCCCGTTATAAATCTCCCAGATTAGTTTCACTTCAGTGAGCACGCACTATTGGTAGCTCCGTCGATACTCTCTGAGGCCATTTCTGTTGAGTAGTGGAAGGAGTTCCGTGCAGCAAAGGGTGAAAGCAGTATGGCGGTTTCAAGGAGCACTGGAGCTGATTTAGATCAAGTCGGTGATCGTAGCTTGGAGACTGCGTGGGAATACCCCGTAGCACTGGAAAGTGTGCACGTAGTGAATTGAGGTCCTCCAGGAACCATCGGCTTCCCGCCGGCACGTCTCCTCTACATTCGTCCAATATGGAGAAAATAGCATATGAGGAGGTACGCCCTGCTTAAAGCATGTCAATCGGTTAATGCTGATTGTCATCAGGACACGCTGGAGCTTCTGCACGAGGGCCCTGTGTCGACCGTCTCGAGAGCCCTGGCCAAGGGAGAACGCGGACAACCAACTTGGGTTGTCATCAAGTCTGCAGCTTCCAGACGAGAACTCTCACATGCCCCACACGATATTGTTAAAGAACTCCGCGTTCTCACCCGCACGTTCCATCCCAATGTCCGTGCAGTTCCTCACTCGAAACGCGTTCGCGAGCGGTAATGCCGTGTTGCTCGCGTAGATCATTAACATCCTGGGGCATTCGAGCGACAGAAAGCTTTCCACGATACAGTTCTCGATGCCATACATTCCGTATCACTTGACGGACCTCTTCTCCTCCCCCTCCTTCTCTCCGCACACCTTCATGTCCGCTATGGACTCTGAGGCCCCAAGCGGACCTACGAACTCTCGGTTTACTACACTCGCAATGTCACTTGCGTATCAAATCCTCTCTGGCGTAGCGTACCTCCACTCGCGGCATATTGCACACCGGGATTTGAAACCCAGCAACGTCCTTTTAACTGAGGAGGGCTGTGTGAAGCTGATAGACTTCGGTATTGCATACCCAGAGGAAGAAGCTGGAGATGGAGAGATTAAAAGGCAGGATCTGTGGCCTGAGCATCCCGATCGGATGTATTTCGAAGTGGGTACCGGGTACGCATGCGCTTCCCACCTTGCTATTCCCTTGTTACCTACACAGATCAACTAACCCATACCTTGCACAGGCCATATCGCGCTCCGGAGCTCCTCTTCGGAACGACCTCCTACCTCGCGCGCGCCGTCGACTCGTGGTCGCTAGGTGTCCTCCTCGCTGAATTCTTTACGGCCCTCCGCCTCACCTCCGAAGACGACAATGAGCTCCCTCCCGAACCGCATAGCCCCGGTGCTAAGCCCTTCGTTCTCCCGGAAGGCGGGAGCTTTGCGGACCCGCACGCGGTATGGAAAAGGGACAGCCTCTTCGACGCGTCGCGGGGAGAAATCGGGCTAGCGTGGAGTATCTTCTGCGTGAGGGGCACGCCCACGGAGGAGACATGGCCTGTGAGGCTCCATTTTCCGCATGTGTCGGAGCGTATTGATAACGCCTCCGTTGCAGGGATTTACCTCTCTACCGGACGCCTCCCGCGTAACCTTCACGCAAACCCCGCGTGTACCTCTGTCTCCCCTACTCCCGAATCTCCCGACACCCTCCACAACACCTCTGGATATGATCGAGAAGTTCCTCCAGTATCCCCCGGACAAACGGCTTAGTCCAGCTGACGCGCTCAAGCATGACTGGTTCAAAGCTGCTCACGCGGAAACAGTGCTCCTCCCACCTGGTTATGCTGACTCCGCGAGAGACAAGATTGCGGCCACCGTCGCGGGCGAGTGGGAGGGGCAATCGCTGGGACAGTTGATGCGGTCGTACGTCCGGCCACACTTGGCCCAACTAAGCCACTGCTAGGCGAAGGAAGAAAACGGGATGTACAAGATAGATGTGTACGAATAGAATTACACTTCATGTTTCAAGACGGCGAATCCAACGATGTGGTACATATGCGTTATATCTCCCCAGTCCAGACGTCCCATAAGCAGAATAAATACCGATTTGGCAAATTAGTGTGCTGCCAACGAGGCAGAGGCCATACCAGGCGCAACGGCCTGCACGGGGATGGCTGTTAATGCACGGTTGTCGATTGATAGACCTGGATCAGGACGCGTCAGCACCTCTGTATCAATGACAGCCTGTGAACCAAGGGCACTCACTCCTGGTCTGGTTGGCAGTCTTGTATATCCCGATCAGCCGGTGGCTCAGCTCAAACATGTCATTGCTGTGACAAGTACATCGGTCAGCGAGAGCCACAGAATAAAAGTTAAGGTCAACTGCGTACCGTAGGGAGATGATGATGAATTGGGCATTCTTCGTTCGGTCCTTGATATAGTTTGCGACGATGGAAACGTTACGGAAGTCGAGTGCTGCGTCTATCTCGTCCATGAAATACAAAGGCGTCGGCTATATCGATGTAACCACCGGTCAGTACGGGCGGCACACAGCGTAATGGGGGTGATGGTTTACCTTGAAGTGGTGGAGAGCAAATACAAGCGCCAAGGAACTGAGCGTCTACACCTGGAATTAGTCGCCGTTATATACTTGGTATAAATGAATATACCTTTTCGCCACCAGAGAGGTGAGAGATGTTCTTCCAGCTCTTCTTGGGCGGCATGACACTGAATATGACACCTTCCGAGAATGGATCCATGTTGTCGACAAGCTCCAGTTCAGCATTCCCGCCCAGCGTGATCATCTAGAGAATGAACAGACTTCAGTTATCACCGCCCGTCACGAAGCTATGCGGCACTTGTACCTGGTACATCTCCTTCAGTTTCAACGATATCGCAGTAAAGCCTGCCATGAACTCGTCGAGACGCTGCTTTCGAAGGCTGTCGTACTTCTGCTTTTGCTCATCGCGTTGGCTCGTCGTAGATTCCAAGTCCTGCGCCCGCTTCAAGAACTCCTCCTCCCGCTTCCTGTATTCCTTCAGGGCCGCAAGATTAGGCTTGGCATTCTTGAGTTTCTCTGCAATACTCGATTGAGCCGAGCGTGTTGAGTAGACAAGAGTGTAGACGCACCATCGAGCAACTCGGCATCAGCGACGAGCTCCTGCTGCTTGAACTTCATCAACTCGGCTTCCGTGTAGATGTGCAATTCATAGGGGTTGTCACGCTGTCGGCCCTTCCCAGTCACCTTCTGCTCTGCCGGCTCTTCCTTGACATGCTCTCCGGAGGGTTCAGCGGACTCCCTTCCGTCCTCTTCCGCTTCCTCCTCCTCCTCATCACTATATGACATGGTCAAAAGCTATACGCGGAAGAGGAAGACCGGACATACTCGATCTCTTCCAGTGTAAGTTTGTCATGTTCGGTCCGCCAGTGATCGATGTATCTGTCGTTGTCATCCATGTCCTTCTTCAAGCGCTCGAGATCATTTTCCAGTGTCATCTAGATCGACGTTAATGGTTGATGCACAGATATCTGCTAGATCTAGTCGTACCTCTTTCTCTCGGAAGCCTCGGATCTCTTCGTTCTTAGCATCCAGTTCAGCTTTCAAGCTGTCCAAGTCGTCTTTGGAGTTCTCTGCCGCAGCCCTGGCGGCGTCGACTTTGCTGCTGAGTTCTTCGACATACTGGGTGCACTCGGAAAGTTGCTCTACCAGTTCTTGAAGTTCTGCCTCTGCTTCCTCTAGACTGACACTGTTGTGTTCTATTGCTCCTTCGAGTTTGGCAGCATCTTTCTCTGCTTTGGCTTTGGCGACCTCAGCCTTCGTTATCTCGTCACTTGCTATCTGGATGTGGAGCTTGATACCATCAACCTTGGACTTCTGTGTCAGCAGTCGGGATCCGCCAACGTCAAGGATTTTCTCCTCTAGGTCCTTGATTGCTTGCTCTATCGCGCCAGATTTCTTCTGCAGCTTCTCGAGATCCCTCGTGGCAGTGTGGATGCTTTCATCCAAGGCGGAGATGCGTGCCAGATCACCAGCATCGGGTTTACTCTGCGACCTAGAGACTGTTGTTAGTCCACGCTTACTTACTAAGGAACAGTACTAACTTCAGCTCACGAACACGCTTCTGAGCCTCGACTATCCGCTTGGAAGCAGTCTGTATATCTAGGTTCAGCTTCTCGATAGCCACGTCCATCCGGGGCCCAGACTTCATTAGACTATCCATCTCAGCTTCGAGCCTACGCGACTCTTGCAAAGCTTCTTCGAGTTGCTCAGCAGCCTGGTTACTCTCCTCCTCGTATCGTCTGAGAACATCAGGAGAGACAGTATCGGCGGCCAGCTTTGAGCTCATGATACCCTTGGCAACATGCGTCCCGCCTCCTGACATAGCCCCGGAAGCTTCGATAAGTTGACCAGCCAGCGTAACAACCCTCCACCTGCGCGATCCTCCGAAAGCAATACGATTCGCATGTTCCAGAGTCTCAGCGACTAACGTGTTCCCGACTGCCTTGTAAAAAGCAGGGGCGAACCGAGGGTCCTTCGGCTTGATCAAATCGAACAGCCGGGGTACGTTATCAGGGGTAGCGATTTTGCCCAAGCCTTGAGACGAAAGCTTCTCGAGCACGATGAACGATGCGCGTCCAACGTTCTGCTTGCGCAAGTACTCGATGCATGCTTGACCTTGCTCTACGGTATCAACGACCAGGTTATTGAGGGAAGGACAAGCCGTCGACACGGCGACGTCGTATTTGTCAGGGATGGTCCCTAGGGCTCCGAGACGACCCTAACAAATTTTCAGCGGAGGGTGGAGGACGTAATTGGAAACACGAACGTGGAAGCCATCAATACGCCCTGAATTCTTGAGCTTGGTCAGACTGTCTAGCACCCTGTTCTGCGAAGTATTTGCGGCTTGCGACGCCTTCGCTTCGTCGACCTTCTGACGCGAGGACGACGCCGTCGCTCGTAGTTGCTGGATCTTCGATTGAAGTTGCTGTGGCATGGCTGAGCACTATTTCCGACATCTGTAAGATAATCGGCGTACCTGAAGTCTTCGTTGTCCTTGATCAATTTCTGACTGAATGCCAGAGCGATTATCCTGTAGCTCGGCCAGCTCGGAAGTCTAGACAAGGCACAGTCAGACCGGCATCGTCAACTGCATAATATACCCACTTTGGTCTCGTGTTCGGCTTGCAGCTTGTCTACCGTAGTCTGAGCCTCTTCCAAGGCTTCCTTGACAGCCTCAGCTTTCTTTGCCAGAGCATCCCGTTCACTCGTAGCAACATCGATTTCCGCTTGCTTCGTATTGATCTTGGCCATCCAAGGTTGTAATTCCTTCTGTTTAACCTCGATCTGGTCATGGAACACCTGCGTCTTATCTGTGACAGCTTCAGTGGATGGTGAACATAGGAGCAATAGAGTATCCCACCCTTCAGACTATCACGGATCTCTTCCAAGACGTCCTCCTCCTGCTCCAAAGACTCCTCGAACTCTTCCAGCTTCTTCTTCTCCTTCGCGATCTTTCTCGTGGAGTCTTCGATGGTGCGTAATGCTTCAGTCCTTGTATGCTCATCCTGTATACGTCATCAGCCTGACTGATGCGAGCGATCATACGTGCATGCTCACGTCTTGCAAAGCCTTCTTCAGTTTCTTGGCTTTACTGTTGGCATGCTTACGTTTCTCCTCCAAGCCCACAGCTTGTTTCTCGTGTGCCGCAAGGTCCTTCTGGGCCTCTTCGGCGGCAGCTTTGACCTCCTACAGACGCACCGTCATAGTCAGAGCGCCAGTCAATGCATTAAGGAGGTCAACCTTACATCGTAGGCTGCTTCACGCTCGTCGTAGTGCTTTTGGAGTAGTTCGCAGTGGGTAACGTCGTCCTGGTTCTGCTCCCGCAAATTTGTCAGCTCCTGCTCAAATTTGGCCTATAACGGGACCACCAATCAGTATAGGAGAAGCAGGAAAAAGGGCCCTGTAACATACGATCTGCTTGGTGTACTGGCCTTCGTTCACTAAGCATCGCCACAGATGATGTTGCCACAGGCGGCTGAGAGCTCGAACGTGCTCATTCTGTAATCTCAAGTAGTCCTCGGCTTCCTTCTTCTTTTCTTCCAGTGCGCTCTTCTCTTTCTCCACAATCCGAAGTCGGTTCAGCTTCTCCTGCCTCTCTTCGGAAAGACGTTCCATTTCTATCATAGCTTCTTCGATCGGCTCCTTGTATTTGGAGGTTCCTATGATGTCCTCCAAGTATTCCAAGAGACCGTCTTCATGCTCAGACGGAGCCTTGGGCTTCATCTGTGCGATAGACTCGACTTCACCCTATCCCGCGATTCAGTATAGAAGGATATGCAGGTCAGATATAATATCAAACCTGTAGAATGAGGAACCGCTTGTGGTCCAAATCGATGCCTCGACCCTTCAGGAGGTCTCTGACCTCCGTGAAAGAACTCTGCTGTCCGTTGATTGTGTACCTGCTAGTATTATTCCTGTACGCTGTACGGGACACAACCAACTTCGATCCCGGCACGACTTCATATGCATCTGGACCAGGCTATCCAAGCGTGAGCAGCAGCGATCACGTCCTCCAGAGAAGGCAGCACACACCAGGTCAACGATCTCGCGGAAGTGCACCTCGACGCTGCAATCGTCCAGATCGGGGTACCGTGCAGAGTTATGAATTAGCTCCGAGAGTTTGCCTTGCCGCATCTTCGTCGCACGCCAGCCAAAGACGAAAAGTAAGGCGTCGATCGTGTTTGACTTTCCCGAGCCATTAGGACCTACAATGGCCGAAAAGGACTAGGCAAAAAGGTTGTCAGAGGCGGAACGAAGTTGAAGCCGCAGATACAGACCTTGTGGAATGGACCAATCTCCTGTCGACCGGCGTAACTCTTGAAATTCACTAGAACAAGTTTATGTATGACGAGCCGCGCCTTTGGACCTTGCGGTTCCTCTGGCTCCTTAACTTGATGTGAAGAAGGCGCATGTTGAGACTTGAGGGGCACATCAGGACCATCTAGGAGCGATTTCTCTTCCTCTTGCTCTTTCGAGGCAGGCGGTGTCGCGGGCCGTTCTTCGTCCGACAACTGAGCTGCGGCTAGCTCCTCGTCGCTGCCCTCGTCTTTCTCGGGCGTGGACGGATCGCCACGAGCATTATCCCCGTCTACAGAACGATCCTCTTCATTGACGTGCCCGTCGGAAAGACGGGATAACGTTCCGGCTGCAGAGGAAACTGTAGAGGAAGCGGTGGTAGCTGAAACCCTCTGATCGGAGCGTTTCCTAGACTTTGTCTCCTTTGCTTGAGATCGGCCTCTTTGTGAGCTATGGTTCTCCTCAGCGTCTCTTGCTTCATCGTCTGTGAGCGTTTCATCTGCACCCTGGTCCTCCAAGTGGTCGACTTCCTCGGACTCTTCCACTTTGACCTTCCTCGACGAACGGCTGGAACGCGTAGGACCTTTTGCAGACGAGCCGCTCGGCTGTGCAATCGCCTTTGCTTTGCCAGCGGTAGTCTTCGCCCTCCTAGATTTGGGTGGAGTAGGATCATCTTCTTCCACCGCGTCCGCAACTTTCCTGGCTGTTGCTCTCCGCTTCGCAGGTTCAGACTTGGTAGGCGGTGCAGCACTCGCCTTTCTACCGCGGCCTCTAGGTTTCTCCTCCTCTTCCTCTTCCTCATCTTCTTCATGATGCGAGGGCTCTCTGACCTCGTTGCCCATGTCAGGAGAAAGTGAACGGCGATGCTTCTTCGGCGGTGGTTCTTTCTGCTCTACTTCGTCGACCTCGGGAACCTCCTTGAGAGGTTTTCTACGAGCAGTCATGCCAGTCTTGCTACTTGACCTCGTAGATTCCTTGCGCGACTTCTGAGGCGCAGCAGCGATAACGTTCTCTTGTTCCTCCTCTTCGTGAACTTCGGCGGTCGGTGGGTTTCGCTTGCGCTTCGTCGAAGTCGTCGCGGCGACAGGGGCCGGCTCGGCAGAAGATCGTGTTGCTCGAGTTGAACGCCGTGGAGGCATAGTCTTGAGGGCGCGTCGGTGAGAAGATGGTCGAGATGCGCGTTCAACAGCGCCGCGGCGAACACGCGCGACGCGTCCGGTCACGTGTCACGTGATTTCACCTATTTTAGGTGAATGTGGCAGAAGGAAGCGCGAAATCAACCTCTTGTCTCCAGCCACGCACGCCTCATGCCACTCTATCCCGCTAGTCTTGCACCAGGAGGTGCAATGACTGCTGCATATCCCACAAATCGAGAGGAGGTCACGACTCTTGCCTTCGCATACGTGTACAGTTACTTGAATGCTGTGAGGACCCAGTTCTCCGACCAGCCGAACATATACGATGACTTGGTGAATATGGTGCAAGATTTCAGAAGAGAGACTATAACGACTCGAGAACTTATCCAAGGAGCGGCCTCCTTACTCTGGGACAAACCTGCGCTAATCCAGGGCTTCAACATCTTCCTTCCTGACGGGTATCGGATGGAATGCAGTAGAAACTCTCAAGGTACCGACCTGATTACAATTATCACACCCACAAGGATAAGCACTCGATCTGCTGCCAGTTATGCAGGCGAGCCCCCGGGGTACCCTTGCAGTTCGACAGCCTACGCCACAACTCCGGATTACCAGGGTATGCCGCCACCCCCCCTACCGCCGAAGGTCTTAGACAAGGCCCTGATGCCGCATAGTATGAACTTCGTTTCAAAAATCAAGCTACGCTTTCCAGACAAGTTCAAAGATTTTCTGGACGCACTAAAGCACAACAGCGACACGCGCACAATGCTCGCGGCGGTGGAAGTAATTTTTGAGGAAGACCGGGCCCTCTTCGAAGAATTCAAAGCGTTCGTGGAAATGCCCATGTTATGAACAACATCCCGGCAATTCGACCATAGCAATTTAAAGGGCTGGCGTCAGTTGCTTCGAGGCTTGCTTTATCAATGTGGCGAATTATAGAGGAAAGAGCGCAACTAACGGAAGACACGGGTACAAGACGCCAACGTTGGCGGGAAGGAAGTTGGAAACAATCAGGGACCAATGTATTATAACTTACTGACATCAATATCCTTTATTTGCCATCCATGAATTCGATGAATATCCTTTTATTCGCGTCAAGACAACGATGTTATCAGAACGCGTGCTTACAGAGACGCACGGTTAACGACTATCACAGTATTCACGAGCGCGGGTCGTCATCAAGGCACGTTCACCGATAGAGCTTTAAGCGTCCTCGAAGACGTTAGCGCAGCATCATCGTGACGAAGGGCAAACCTGTCGCCCATAAGAGGTATCGAAGATCTTGGACTGTCGGTCTGGACGACGACTAGCATGAGAGCGTCGACATACCAAGCAACCGTGGATCAGTGCACCCACTGTCCGCCTCCAGCGTATCACCCGCCCTACGTCACTTCAACGTTCGCGAACTTCGAAGAGTAGTAGGAATATCCACTTCGCCTGATTTAGGTAGCGCACATCCCAGCAGGGGTGGCTGAAGTTTTCCGGGGTAATAGTCACCTAGACCTTGTGAGACCGCCGGAGCCAAGGTGGCCATTATATTACAACAAGATGAACGGAGATGATACTCGAAAGCAAGCAGCCTACTTCGAGCAGGTTGATCTGTGCGAGAAGCGAGATAATCGCTGAGACAGCCCGTGTCCACACCGGGCGTACCATAGCGTGGGCGGAGTGATAACGGAGACGTAGCAGGAGCGCGCAGTCCGCCCCGAGTAGCCGGCAAGTTTTGATCCTGTACTCTCCCGCCCGGGACGATAGAAGAAGGGGGCGTACGTGGAAGCTACGGCGCCTCCACACGACTTGCATAAACGCTACTTCAGACTGCCAGCGGAGGTCTTCGAAGCAGATCACTATGAGATTTGCAAACGTGGCTGCAGGGACCGGCAACGAAGCGTGGCCGCTAAATCCGCTATCGATGAACGCAGAGACAGTGGCGACACACGAGGGAGCGATAGGACCCCCGATAATACGGATAGAAGGGGTTTCCGGATCGTAGATTTCGATGTCCGGAAGAAATGGGTCCATCTTGTCCGATTTTTGCGCACGGGCTCCGGAATTTTAACACTTTGTCCGGAAAGTGACTTCGGCCAACGCCGCCCAATGTGGCTCGAAAGTTGAAGCAACGCGGTCCCTCCCCCCCCCCAGTGGAGAGGAATGCAGAGGTCAGGGCCGGGAGGGCAACATGGTCAGGCTCCTCAATGTCTGGCAGGGCCCCCGGCCCCTTTGGCAGCCTCCAGAAAATGTCCGGACTTTGCCTCCGGCAGCGTCCAAAATGTCCGGGATTTTCATGGCCTTCCGCTGCGCGGAGCCCATTTTTGTCGGGCTGGGACAACCTCTTCTATCCGTATTATCGGGGGTCCTGGAGCGATGCGTGAGAGACGCGAGTGAACCGAAAACGAAGCAACCACGGCAGCTGCAGGCTGACAGGAGTCGTGAGATTGAGCAACTTGAGCCGACGAAGGAAAAAAATGGGTATATGCTCGAGCTGCTGCTGTCCCCAGCCACTGCAATTTAGCCGAGAGCCTACCATGTAACTAGCCGTCAGAACAGAGCCCACTACTGACAATGGCTACGCCGAGGATCTGCGACTTCGGCGTTCGCGCTGCCATGCGCCAGTGAAGTTAGCGGTCCAACTTTACTCTGGAAAGCAAGTAGCATCAAAACTTTGGGCCCAGGCGTAACGGAACACCAGGAACAGCGCTGGTCGTAAGTTAAACTAAAGTTTGTCGGCTACGCCCAGAATACCGACGACTTGCGCGTGCTTCCGTTGATATGATCGACACTGCCGCCACTGGGAGCGAACGAGGGTTCCGAGGACAGTCCGCAATATCTGCCATACAGATTCCTGATTGAGATAGCATGCTCATGGGTGACAGACGCCGCGATACTTGATGGTCCCGCAGCAAGCGTAGTTGAGTTCTTCAGGTAGCAAGGCATAATGCATAACCAGGATTACTTCCAAGACCGCAGTCATGGAAGGAACTTCAAGCTTCAGCCGTGGTAGAGTCGCATCCCGTGCAGAAACTTGAAGAGCGTTAAGCTTCCGGACGAGGCCGAGGAAGAGATACCCGAATTCGCACCCTGGATTGACCTGAGTATAGAATCCGTGGAGTGATGTGCGTGTTAGTGGCTGTATAGGGTATTCCGGGCCTGGCAGCGGGATCCAGCAGGACATGCTTGCTACGACGGAGCGCCTGTGGATTGTCCTCTGGTGTGATGATTGTGCAGCACACGGCAGCGGGTGGTCTCGACGTACACTTGATGTCACAGACTAGAATTATACCAAGGAAAGTTCTGTAATGAAGCGAGATTTCTCAGTGTGTATCTCCTACTGCAGCCATGTCGGGTGAAAACATACCGAGGGTGCGTTAATATAACAAATCCTCGGTGCGTCCGGCTGCCCGTCGCAAACTTAGTCTTCCATAGTTGCCTGTAGTAGTTAGAAGACTCAAACAAGACACTTCGAGGGCTGAACCTTTGAATCCGGCAGGTCGACCGTATAAGGTTGGTATAAGGAGCGGGAAGAGGCCCTTCAAGAGGGGCGTCGCGCATTACGGCACCTGCTTTCGGCTTCCATCCCCCGCAACGCCCCGCTTGACTCTGCACGCCGCAACGCTCGTTCTGCAGGGATTCCCCTGGCCCCAGCATCATGGCAAAGGACAACGGCATCTCGTCGCCGCTCCCAGCGTCGAAGCTGGGGGAGTACACGGTCATCAAGGACATTGCTGAGGGAACGTTCGGCAAAGTCAAGAGTAAGTCACGATCGACGTCGAGAACGGCGCACACATTGACGGCTCGCAGTGGCCATGCACACCGTTACGGGCCACAAGGTTGCCATGAAGTTCATCTCGAAGCAGGTGATACATGCGACGAGGACGAAGACGAGGGTGCAGCGGGAGGTCGAGTATATGCGCACGCTACGGCACCCCCACATCATCAAGCTGTATGCGCCTTTGTTTGCCGTCTAATATTCTCTAACACCGCGCGTGCCGCAGATACGAAGTTATCTCTACGCCGACGGACATCATTATCGTGCTGGAATACGCCGGGGGAGAGCTCTTCAACTACATAGTCGCCAACGGTCGCATGCCCGAGCCGCAAGCACGCCGTTTCTTCCAGCAAATCATGTCCGGCATCGAGTACAGTCACCGGCTCAAGATCGTCCACCGGGACCTCAAGCCCGAGAATGTCCTCCTGGACGACGACCTCAACGTCAAGATCGCCGACTTTGGCCTCTCGAACGAGATCAAGGATGGCGACTTTCTCAAGACCAGCTGCGGCAGTCCGAACTACGCCGCGCCCGAGGTGATTAGGGGCGGGCTGTACACGGGACCGGAGATTGACGTCTGGAGCTGCGGGGTTATTCTGTATGTAATGCTCTGCGGAAGGCTGCCGTTCGAGGACGACGACGTGCAGATGCTGTTTACCAAGATCAGCCGTGAGTCCCTCGTACATGTATCTCTGGTACGCTATTGACAATCTGCAGAGGGCACCTATCATATGCCTTCCTACCTCTCCCCCGACGCCCGAGGCCTAATCAACGGTATGCTCGCCGTCGACCCCGTCAAACGCATCACCGTACCCGAAATTCTCCAGCACCCCTTCTTCACCACCGACCTCCCGCGATACCTGCAGCCGCTACCACCCCCGCCCGGACCTGTACTAGGGACGTTATCGTCTCTTGTCGTCCCGCCTAAGCAGCTCGACTTCGAGATCATCGAAGGGCTGGGTAGGATCGAGGAGGATGTCGTCGAAGAGCTGGCGCACCGGATGGAGGGTGTCGACAAGGAGGATGTATGGGAGTGCCTACGGCGAGATGACGGGCCCCAGGGAAATGCTGTCAAGGTCGCGTACATGCTGCTTCGGGATAAGAAGCGGCTGGGGAAGAACTGTGAGTGGTCATTTCTCTTGCCCAGCAGGCCTGCGTTTATGTTTCGACAGTGGCGGAATTCGAGGAGCAGGAACGGGACGCTCAGTTGGTTGCTATGGACGTACGTAGCTATTATTCATATCTGGATCACAACTGACCATGCCGTACAGCCCAGATACCCCTTATCCCCCAACGTCCTCTCGCCAGCCCAAGAGCTCGACGAAAACCCCTTCGAGTCCGAGTTTAACTCGTACGACGAGGACGAAGAGATCGACGAATCCGGCCTCGACTTCTCCACACCTGAGACGGAAGTGAACAACTTCGCCGTTCTCAACTCCTCCCTGCCCGACCAACTCCCGGAGCAGCACCACCTCGCCTCGTACGCGAGCGCGAAGCGGTCGTGGCCGCTCAAGGAGAAGAAGCAGCACCGGACAAAGTGGCATTTTGGCATCCGCAGCCGGTCTCCGCCGATGGAGGTGATGCTGGAGATCTACCGGACGCTGAAGGCGCTCGGGATGGAGTGGAAGGAGAAGAAGGACCTGGGTGGGCTCGGCGGGGTTGGGGTGAGGAAGCGGCGGAGCGGGGAGAAGATCCGCATCGACCGTTCAACGCATCTGGATGGCACCGGGTACGTGGATTTGAAGAAGGCCGCGTCTATTTATTTTGTAGAGACGAGGGCGAGAGTCGGGGACGTCGTGGTATGTTGCATCTTATCCTAGAAGGGATCCTTGCTGACCTAGCTTAGGTTCTGATGAATCTCCAGCTGTACATGGTCGACTCGATTAACTACCTGGTAGACTTCCACCACAAAAAGTCGTACAAGGCTTCGACGGAGCCAGGCGCCGGCAAGTTCGACATGGCCAACCCCGACGCGAGCCTCTCGGACACGGCTTCCGAGTCAAACCGGTCGATCAGCGCCAAGGACTGCAAAGAAGAGGAGGTCGTGTCGCCGTTTGTCTTCATGGACGTTGCCTGCAGGTTGATTCTGGAGCTCGCGGGTGGGGGCGAGTGATTCGCTGGTCGCTTTCGGTTGTATGTGTGTATTATAGTATGTGCTTCCTTGCTGTCTGTATGCTAGATCTCTTTGCTTGCTTGCTGTGCTCTGATAATGTATTGCTTTCTGCTCACGGGTATTGGAGGTCCTGTAGGTCGAGGACAAGGGTCTTTGGTCGCTCTGTCTCGTTAGACTCGGGTTCCCGTCTTTGTATTAAGCGTCCCTTTTACTATGCTAACATGTTTGCGAAGTTATAGCCAGGTCTCGTTCGTACCGTGCACACATTCCACTGTTGAACGTGAGTGTATCTCTTGTTCTGCGGTTATTGTGGTCTACTCGGCGGGGTTCTTTTTGATCGTCACTAGGTCCTTGAACATGTCCCTGTCTCTTCGATCGCAATGTCATGACTCGCAGCCCCCGTCTTTCTGATTCTCTATGAATTTGACGCGACTCTTCCTTCGACAAGGGAAAGGGGAGCTATCGGGTATATGGTCCTGCTAATGTCTGCTTCCATGCCTAGTCCTGCGAGTGCTCCGTCTTGCGAGCAGCCGTCATGATCAGAGGCTGGCGGAGGTGGTCGGGGTAAGTCGCGTATCACGGCCCTTGCTGTCGGTATCCTGTCCGTATTTGTGAGTACCATATAAACTTGTTATCCCGATTCCAACGTGTGATCTTCGAGCCTTGCCTTGCGCGCATTCAAGAGCAATTTTTCGATGTCCAACTCAATAATTTTAAGTTTGTACCAGGGTTTGTACGAGAAATCGACTTGCTCCTCGAGCTCTGCTTCCCGGGCTGCCGTTGGCGCTCGTGGTGAACTCGGTGTAGCTACGCCGCCGCCCCCGTCCATCTTTAGACTCTAATTTAGAGCACCTCATGGCCGCGGGCGCTGTATCTCCATGATTCCATCATACCTAGCCTCACTACAACCTCGATATAAAGCCCTATAATCACGTTCTATAACCCTCCTTTGCTGCTTTCTTTTGTCTGGTAGTATCTTGGCAGCCTTGGGTCCTTGGCGATGCCGCGCGAAAATAGCTTCACAGACTCGGAGGGTCGCTCTCTGACACCAGACCTCGATGAAGAGTTCGACCTTCCCGAGACCGGTTCGCCTCTGGCATCGCCCATTGAACCAGCTCAGCGACCCCCTCTTTCTGTTGTTACGCCCGGGGTAGACTCAGTGGGGAATGGTACGAGTAATGGCAAGCAAGTCCCAGCAGCTAGTATGGCCTCTGAGCCCGCTGGTCTACCTTCGAAGGAGCCGGTACGACCGACTTTCAGGACAACCTCAACACCCGGGGACCGTTTTAGACAGTCAGTGCGGAAGGTCATGCAAATGCACCGGACATCGTCCGTCATCTCAGGCAGGGGGATGGGTGCAGGCGCGGAGCCCGGTGTCGACCCTCGTCGTCAGTCGGCGTACCTCCATTACGGGCATATCAGGCAGGACTGTGTCATTGAAATGATCGACTACTCGAGCACGAGTGCTATGACCGGCCGGTATACGAACAAGGAATTCGTAGGTTTGCTGGAAGATGAGCGGGCGTTCCAGCGGGACCCATGGGTCAAGGTGCGGTGGATCAATGTGAATGGGATCAGCTGGGATGTCATAAGCAGTTTGGCACTCAAATTCAGTGAGTCAAGAGTGTCCCGATTCACCCACAATGCAGACCTTTTCCAATGTATTGTCCATAGATTTGCACCCCCTGGCCCTGGAGGACGTTCTGCACCAACGAGGACATGCCCGTTCAAAAGCTGACTACTACACCCAGCACCTGTTCCTCCGCATTCTCAGTCACTCCCTTGCCTCAGACGACGAGGTCGTATCCTCCACCTTCACCGACTTCCCGCGGTCCGCGTCCCCGGTGGACATGGAACCGTCCGATCATAAATATCGGGATTCTGAACGGAGCACTGAGGAGGACGATGAAAGAACTGTGTATGGCAATTCTTCCGCCATGAACTCTAAGTTCTCCACCCGGAGGACTAAGCGTGGTACCATGAAACGGACGCCTTCGTATAGGATGGAGTCGGTCAAAGTGGATTTGGAGAGCCCGGCCCCCGTGGTTCGCCAAGACTCGTTGAGGACAAGAAAGCGCGAGCGGGATGCTCGTACCATCGAGGAGCTCAAGAAGGGCGGCCGTGTCAACGTGAAGATTGAGCCAGTCTGCATATTCCTCTTCCGTGATGGTAAGTCTCGGCACCAGTCAGAGTAATCCAGTTCTGAGAATTGTGTCATGAAAGGCACTGTTATTTCCATCAATAAAACACCCACGACTGAATTCATGGCACCTATCATGGCGCGGTTACGGCAGCGAGACACGACGCTACGGCTTAGCGCGGACGCGTCCCTGCTTGTTCAGAGTTTGCTGGATCTGAGTAGGTTTATTCGCGGGGAAAGCTGGACGTCGCTAAAGCCATGGTTATAGTCGTTGATCGCTGCCTGGAAGTTGTGGACGAGTACCAGGGCAAGCTCGTGAAGCTCGAGCACGACGTCCTCCTCAAACCCAATATGCGTACGGTCCGGGAGCGTAAGTGATCACCCTCAATTATGTCCTCTGCTAGTCTACCATTGCCCACTATCCAGTTCATATCATCTCGGGCGACCTCATCCTACACAAGCGTACACTGGAGCCAATTAAGACAGTTGTCTACGGCCTGCGGCGCTATGATATCGACCGCTGTGCGGCCCTGATTGATCCAGCACAATACGACCCTAGCAAGCCGCCAAAGGGATTCATGAGCCACAAGGCGAAGATATATCTGGTAAGTAGGCGTACGCAGGCAGCGTGAGTGCTTGTTATTGACGATGTGATGAAGGCAGACGTGTTCGACCATATGGAGTATATCCTGACGAGTGTCGATATGTTCGCGAACGTGGCCGAGAATCTCATCAACTACACGTTCAATGTACGTCCGGTCCTAGCCTGGCTTTCTTCGTTTTGACGAGCAATGCTGACGCTACCTTACAGATGACGTCGTATGAGATGAACGAGGTCATGTACGTGCTCTTTCGTCAGACCCTTCGCCATTAATATTAACGTGAATTGCGTTCAGGCGGCGCCTCACCTTAGCGACTATCATCTTCCTCCCCCTTACCTTGCTTACTGGTTACTTTGGTATGAACTTCAGTGCCATGTGGTCCGTTCAAAACAATTCAGACCTGCTGTACGTCTTCACCTTCATCGCGATCTGCCGTATTTCCTGGCCTGATATCGCCTTTGCAGTTTCTGGGAAATCGCGATCCCAGTGATGATCGTGGTTACGTTGCTGTTCATGTGGAATGACATCAAGAGAGCTTTCCACTACGTACAAAAGCGACTCGTGGCACGAAAAATCGACAAGGTGCGTGTGCTAACCATAATGTCACTGAGCTCAAGCTCATGAATGTGCATACAGGGCTACAAAGACGACTAGGCACTGTCGGTCTTCCATTTTACTATTTATCATCGGAGTCTTCCGCTATGATGCTGTCTGGAGACTCAGTATGCCTCATTGATTGAGTACCGAGAGGTTTGGACTTAGAACGTGTTCCATGGACTGTCGGTTCTGTAATACTACGTATATCCCACGTTGTTCATGTTCCATTGCTCCCATCCTTCGTTTAACTGCACTCTAGCATATTTATTTTAAAGGCGACACGGCGCGTTTAATATTACCCATGACCACCAATGAACTTCTGAGGCCATGACGTCGAAATCTTAGCCTACTTTATCTTATCTCTGTAAGTGATGGACGGAGGTCGATGTACGTTTCCTAAAGATCGGTCCGACTGTTCTGCACGACACTAGTTCCAGTCGTTATAAATACTATCACCTCTTGCCAATCTTCTACGATGTATCTCCAGTTAGATGATTTGACGGCACTTGTAACAGGTGAGAACTCCAATCACCCGTCCTTCCCGGCGAATAAACCACATTGCATTCTTCGACAGGCGGAACCAAAGGCATAGGTCGTGCGATTGTCGAGCAACTCCTAGAAGAAGGATGTAACGTCTCCTACTGTGCCAGATCAGTGCAGAAGGACGGCATCGCCCCGCATACCACCGAGTCCGGCAAAGCGAGAGCCATTGGCACTGCTCTGGACGTTGCAGACAAGGCGGCTATGGAAGCATGGGTACAGGACACCGCCGAGATATTCGGTGGTGTCGACATCGTAATCAGCAATGGTGTGTAGTAGGATTGGTTGCTTCAATCGGAGATCACTGATGACTGACTTCATGGACAGTGTCGGCTCTGGGCATCCCTTCCACTCCGGAGAACTGGCAGGCGTCCTTCAACGTCGACATGATGGCGTTCGTGAATCTGGTCGAGGCAAGCTTACCGTACTTGCGCAAGTCCAAGGCCGCTGCCATTGTCTCTGTGTAAGTATGCAGTTTTGAGTCGCGTCCAATCTGACAGTACCGTACTTAGGTCGTCCGTCTCAGGCAGGGAAATTGACTTCACTGCTGCAGGCCCGTACGGCGCCTTCAAGGCCGCCGTGACCCATTATACCCAGCAACTGGCGTACACCTTAGCACCGGAGGGCATTCGCTCGTCAGTGTCGCGTTCTCCAGTGTGACATCACTAGAACTTACCGGATACGTCTTGTGCAGAAATTCTGTGAGTCCTGGAAATACGTTCTTCGAGGGAAGCGTATGGGACGACGCCCAAAGAAACAACCCCGAGCTGTATGAGAAGGCGCTGGCGCTCAACCCCATGAAGCGCATGGCAACGCCAGAGGAAGTAGCAAAGGCGGTGGTATTCCTTGCGAGCCCTGCGAGCTCCTTTACATCGGGCACGAACCTAGTCGTCGACGGCGCCCTCACCCGCGGCGTGCAGCTCTGAACAGATGATGGTATCCTGATAATATATTCATAATTTTATGTTCACAAACACAACAACAGAGGGGGCAATGATGAAGATGAATAAGGTAACAAACGGAGCACGCACGATCGGACGAGACAACTCAGCACGCACACAAAATGTCCGAATCCGCATCAATGTTACACTTTCAGCCGCTTCGCACCCTGCTCGTCGTCGCCACCCTCTTCCTCGAGACCTTCGTCCCCGACGCTGTCGCCGGTGCCTACGACGCCGGGCCCCTCGTCCTCGTCGATCTCACCTCTCGATCTCTTCACTGCGGTGCTGGGAGTGGTCCCACTGAGAGATGGGGGCAGCTTCCCGTCGGCGGGGATGTACTCTTCCTTGTTAACTTCCTCCTCGTACTCTTCGTCGTCTTCCTCCTCCTCCTCTTCGCCAGCGGCGTTACCGTTCTCCTGTAACAGGATACGTTAGTGGACATAGAGAGAAGGGCATAGAGACGTACCCCGCCGAGGAGGAGAGCAGTAAGGCTGCCTTGTCTCTAAGTGAATATAGACGTGTCAGACCAGCTCAGCAGTCGTGATTGTTGGACGTGGACGTGTACCTGCTGGGGATCCGCTTCCCCGTCCGCGTCTTCTCCGTCTTCTTCGTCGTCCTCAAATCCGCCTGCTTCCTCCTCCTCCTCTTCCTATGCACCAGGCCGTCGTGAGGCCCGCGCCGTCTGATACCGCGTAGGACAATACACGTACCACAATATCGTCGTACTCGTCGCTCTCCTCGCCCAGGTCCTCCTTCAACTCATGCGCGACCTGTTCCGGGGGCGGAGGGGCGTCTTTACTTCGGTCAGCCATAGCTGCTCAGGGCTGGGGGCAAGTTGCTCGAATGTAGTGGAGCCGAGTAGGGCTTTAGGCTTCGACTCAGCTTCGAGTTCAACCTTCAATTGACGGTATTACAGAGCAATTCGCACATCTGCCCATCGTGATGATGAGCGCATAGTGGCGGACCATGGGAACGGTTATAATTGCGACTGTGAGCGGCGCTGTGTGAAGCGGCCAGAGCTAAGGTCGGACGTGCGCTTGTTGGTCGCCGGTGGAAATAGCGATTTGTGCGCTATGTACGTCGTTCTGTACAACTACTCAAGCTCAAGGAGGAAGAGGACAGAAGGATGTAAAAGTTCATATCTGCTTCATTTCCGAAGTTGCGCCGGTAGGCCAGCAAAACAGGATGAATAATTTCTAGGCGGTGTAAGTTGAGTACAACATCAGGCATCTTGAGAAAATGGCCTGAGTGGAATGGAGCGTAGAAGACGAACGGCAAGTGAAGGAATGAACCAACCGCCTATGATTACTACGGACGTCCACAATAGCACCGCACCATTACATTTCGACAGTCATTTGACGGCGAATATAATTGATTATTTACCTCGGGAACCAGAGTTCCAGGAGCACCTCTGTTATGACAAAACCGCGTAGTATTGATCACCAGTGCGGGTTGAGGGCAGCTCGATATCATGATACTGAGTGCTCCTGAGGACGGTTCGCTGCATATAGGCGAACGAGAAATCCAACCCCCAGCAAGCGTACTGCCGTCTTAGACTGGCCATAGTGATCTTCACCGGGCAAATCCCTGAGATATCTTCGGCACAGATGCACGTCCGGGAATTCACTTACGACCGCTCTTTCCCCGCCGAATGAATCCCTCGCGGTCCTGACCAAGTACCCTGGCTATGCCATAGCTGAAGAGACCGCTAGCCGTATTCCAGGTGTCTCCGTTGCTTCCACCTGGGAATACAACTTCGCATGCCCTGACAGGGGAGATAGAAATAGACCTCGTTCCCCCAAAAGGGGGCGACTAGAACACAGTGTGTTACACCCACGCTTCATCTTTCGGACAAGTGAGACCCAGAAGGACCTCGAGGCCAAATAACAGCGGCAGATGCGCCTGCTTCCAAGCCTCCTGAAGGCAGGTTTGCTTCGCGTGCAAAGCAGATCTTGTGCCGCTATTCTGTATCGTTCCATATATGCGCAGTCAGAATAATCCTGAGGAGGTTCCGGCTTCAAAAACCGCAGAAAACAAGCAGAAAAGACCACCGCTAAAGCCATGTAACGGAGAAGGACGTCGACCGGGTTTACCCAGAGTGGCTGAGGATAAGATGCAGCCCTCGTGGAAACGTCCATTATCGATCCACCGACTTTCCTTCACCCCCCTCTACCCACTTTCCCTGCCGTCCCCCACCCTCGTCCACGATGGCTAACATCAAGCTCTTCGCTATGGGGAACCCCCTGCTCGACATGCAAGTCCGGGATGGCGAGGCGTTGCTCGAAAAGTATGGTCTGAAGGCCAACGATGCCATCCTCGCGGAGGATAAGCACATGCCTTTGTAAGATACCCCGCTTATGATTCGATATGTGCTGCTGATGGCAAAGAAAGGTACGAGGAGATCGTTGAGAAGTACCAGGTCACGTACGTTGCCGGCGGTGCTTCCCAAAATGCTGCTCGCGGCGCCGCGGTACGTATAGTCGTGCACTCGATCGAAAGCTGTTACTGAGGGCGCGTTGATATTCAGTATATCCTCCCTCCAGGATCAGTTGCATACACTGGATGCGTCGGCGACGATAACCTCGCCGACCAGCTGAGGGCTGCTAACAAGCGAGAGGGCCTGCAGGAGGCGTACCTCGTAAAGAAGGGCGAGAAGACTGGTGCTTGCGCCGTCATTATTACCGGTCACAATCGGTATATGCACTCAACATCGCAATCGTGTCTCAAGCCTGACCTACTGTCCCCTCCAGATCATTGGTGACTACCCTCCGGGCAGCGGAGAAGTTTGAGAAGGAACATTTAGCCTCCCCCATTGTCGCGCCCTTGATCGAGAGCGCACAGACGTACTATGTCGAAGGATTCTTCCTAACACACGGCACCGAGTCAGTTCTGCACCTCAGCAAGCAGGCTGCTGAAGCCGGCAAGGTAACTTCGACTCCTCTGTCACCGCCCGTCCCGCAGCTAACAATCCCGCCCAGACCTTCGTGCTCAACCTCTCCGCACCCTTTATCCCCCAATTCTTTCAGGTGCAGCTGCAGCAAGTTATTCCCTACTGCGACTTTATCCTCGGCAACGAGAGCGAGGCCGAGGCGTGGGCCGAGGCGACCGGCCAACCGGACAAGAAGAACTATGCCGCCGTTGCACGGGCGATCGCGCTCCTGCCCAAGGCGAACCCCTCGCGCCCGCGTACGGTCATTATTACGCAGGGGCCGCGCTCGACCGTCGTCGTCTCCGCCGCCGACCCCGACGCGCCCAAGGTCGTGCCTGTGAACCCGCTCAAGGACGAGGAGATCATAGACACGAACGGTGCCGGCGACGCCTTCGCTGGCGGCTTCCTTGGCGCTCTTCTCAGTGGCAAGAGCATTGACGATGCTGTGTTGGTCGGCCACAAGATGGGTGCGATGTGTGTCGGCCAGGTGAGCTTCTATACTACGCTCTTCATGTTTGGCAGAGACGCTGAAAATTTTGTCCCAGGTCGGCCCCCAGTTCAAATGGCCCAAGGTTAATGTGCTTTAAATGCTGTATCTTATCATTATCTATCGCATACGCTCTCAACAGCGTCCTGTATCCACTAGCGCTTTTCTTATAATTCAACTTGCATGGATGGCCTCATCATCTCCATTGCCAATTGTCCACAATATACCATTCTTCCAATGCCCACTCTACTACGACCGCAAGAAAGGAAAACGATACTATAACAGGATTTAGGTTACTTCCAGGTGTACATCACAGATCGTCCTAGCAGCTTCCGCGTTTGAATCACGAAGGGGGTGGGGAAGCCAGAGATTCCTATTCTGCCAATGAGCCGATGGAAGAGGACATATACATGAGACATACCTGTGTCAACAACTCGGCTATGATAGCATGAGCACTCCGCTCTACATCCGCAAAGACTTCCAAGTTGAAGTGCTCACCGGGGTTCAGCATCGGCTCACCATCCTCAGTCAGCATCGGTTCCATCGGGGGCGGTCGCACGGGTTCTTGTCCTTGGGGCTCGTCGAGCGGGAGATCTATATCGGCCTCACCGTCGGCATCAGCCTCTGTATCATGGCCTTGAGCATCCGGGTCAGTCGAGGGCTGTTCCGCTACTTGCCCGGAGGGTGGTGCTGGCTGCTCGCTTGCCTCTGCCACAGCAGGCGCCTCGGCCATCTTCGGCTCAGCGTCTCCAGCTGGCTGTTGAGGAGGAGGGGCATTAGTAGGGTCTCCTGCAGGCTTGGCTGCAATCGCATCTATGACGGCCTGCATGGCGGCAGCGGTCATCTGCATCGAGACAGGCTTGGCCTCACTGCCGTCCGCAGGCACGGGTTGGGAGGCAGAAGCACTGGAACTGGCTTCCAACGCGGGGTCGATCACGGGGGCAGTAATCGAGGAGGGCGCATCGCTACTGGGCTTCCCATCGACATCTTTCATGGAGACGTTTTCCGAATGTTGAGACAACTGCGGGTCAACCACTGCCGAAGTGGGCGCGGGCGGAGCATCATTGGGCCCCGGAGGCGCAGCATCTGTGTTATCAGCCGTCGACGGGGCACCGGTCCCTGGGCTCTGGCTACCCTCTACAGGTGGCGGAGGATTGTCGCCGTTGGGTTGGCCCCCTGCGCTAGTACGATAATAAGGCGAAGGTTGATAGTACGATTGATACGATCCCATCTGAGGCGGGCCTCCCTCCGGGGTCCAAGCTGGTGCAGCAGGCCAACTGCCCCTAGTAGCCGACGTGGGCAACCCAATTGTCGAGGGGTAATCCCCACTTCCGCTGGGAGCAGCGGCATAGCCTGGTAGAGCGTTGAGTTGAGAATCATCAGGGGCATCGTAGCAACCTACCGGCGTGTAGAGTGTGTGGTCTGTAGTAGCTGGTTGGTCCTGGTGGAGTGGCTTGAGTGTTGCTGCCTGAACCCGACGCCTCCGGCTTTCCCTTGCCATCTGTAGCGGGAGTTCCGCTGCGGCTGCGTGACTTCGATGCGGACGATCCCTCGCCGTTCTTCATCTCGGCGTCCGCCTCCACTATAACCCCATTGTGCCTGTATGCCAATGTTACAATGGTGGAGAGCCGATCAGTCAACTGTCCACACACCTCGATTTCTGATGACGACGAAGGGCATCGGTCTATAGGGCAGTCATTCGCACCCCTGTCGGTTTCGGACTTATGCACAATCACGCACCCTAGTAAAAGTGGCATCGCACTGAGGACAACGGCTGCAGAGTAGTTCCGTATTATGACGCGCCACAGAACGCAGAAAAGCTAAACTCACAATCCCGGCATAGAGTGCAGCTTCGTCGTCCTCTGGTGCCGCTTAAGGTCGGCCTCCCTCGCAAACTGCTTGTTACATCCATTGATTTTACACGGCCACACGCCACTCTCCGATGGACTCTTTTTCTTTGCAGCAACTTTCTTCTTGTGAGCCTCCTTCTTCTCCTCTGGCTAAAGACGTAAAGTGTGCCACACAAGCAGGTGGCGTCAGGATCGGTGGCTGAAGGGCACACAGGTCATACATCACTTACCGACTGCTTTACATGCGCCCTCACCATGGCTTCCGACTAGTCGAAAGAGTCTGTAGTCGTAGGTGTCGCAAAACCGCGTGGCTCGAAACTTTGGCTGCCAGAAAAGATTTTTGAGCGAGTAGATGGTCAGAATGCTCAAGGTGGCGTGAAGGTCCGTGCACAACGCCACATAGCCTGGGTATACCCGTGTGGCGCGGACCCGGGAACTCCCGGTCGTTCCCAATTGGCTCTCTAGGCCATCAACGTTGAGTGTCAAGCCCGTTCACATCCATGACTGAAGTTCACAAGTGCTAACACAAAATAATTCATAGGCAGCATTCTGCAATGCTGCGAGGAACTGTGCTCAGACGTTTGGGTGGCCCGGAGAAAAATAAGCTCGTGTTCTTTGATTTTTTTTCATCTTTCGAGACCTTCCGGCGACCGAACTGCGATCAATTATCATCAATCCGTGCATACGGCGGAAATGGTAGCGATTCAAAATGACAGCTCCCATCACGATGTCCAGATTTATGTGACTTTCGCTGACCGCTCGGGTAGTGAGTAGTGACTGCATCATTTTTTATGCCTCGTGATCTCATGGTGCTCTTGTGCCACGTACTAGGACGCGGTGAACCCACTCTGGCAATCGCGTGGAACATCTGAAAGCCCCGTGACGGTAACCAGATATAATGTGCTCCGCGCGGGATGACCTTGCCCGCCGAGCAAGGATCAAATGGAACCCCCAGGTTTCCGAGGAACTCGCTGTCTCGACTGAAACGTCTTAACAGAACGGCGCGTAGTCGTTTGATGGTGTACTTGGCCTGCCGCCTCTCTGCATATAAACATCCATGCGGTGCTCCGTCATACGACTGATTCCTCTGAAAATCGGCAATCCAGAGTCTCCTGTGCGGTCTGGATGGATGCCCTGATCATCGCACTTTATTTCTCGGATCCCAGTTTTCTGGTATAAATGCAAGGGGGTTCTCTGTTCCGCTTCAGCAGCGGATCCTGACCCCGGTCGACCACCCAATAAGTATTCACAATGAAGTTTGCCGCTGTTGTCGCCGTCCTGGCTGGTGCCGTTTCTACCGCTAGTGCTTTCACCATCCACTTCCAAAACAATTGCAATTTCGGTAAGTCGCGGCGTTCTGCTATAACCATATTGTTCTGTCGTAACTCACGAACGGTGCCCACCCAGCCGTGTGGCCCGCCGTTGGGAAGGCTCCCAACGGGCAGCCCGACACATCTGTCGCATATGGTACCAAGTTGAACCCTGGTGCTTCCAGCTCGTTCGGCGTCGACGACCATCAAGTCGTGAGTATCCTACTGTGCGCTGCGTGTTACTACTGTTCCAACCACTTTTCACAGGGTATTCGTGCTTGGGGACGCACGGGATGCCATGATGACGGCACCAACTGTGCGACCGGCGGCTGTGTTGGCGGTACGTTCCGGCCTTTATCTCTCGGTTCGAGCTCGTAACTGAGTGTTTTGCGTGGCCCCTCAGGTCTTACTTGCACGGATGCTGGTCTGAACTCGGGGGTCATTGTCTCTGAGTTCGGCTACGGCAACTTCGGTCAATATGGTGGCGAGCGTACATCCTGGGACTTGAGCCACGTCAACTTGGCCATCAACCTGAACACCAGGCTCTCGTCATCTGATGGGCAGAGCGTCCTGTGCCAGCAAAACAACTGCCCTGATGACCAGGCCTACTCCTACACGAACGATTACGCAGCGGACCGTAACTCGCCCCTGGGCCAGACCTTCACGCACACTTTCTGCGCTTAAGAAAATAAGTTTGGACGACATGGGGAGGAAATAACAGTTCTTGCCTTCTTGTATTTATTGGGCATATGTACTCATTGAGCTAATGTAATCACATCCTCAAACAACGTCGAACACCGCCCAGATGCTGCAGTTGTGCCCAAAAGGTATTGTTGTGTTCTGCCACCGCTTACTATACTCCCAAATGTCGGGGTCTCGGTAGATGGTATACTTATTATGTACCCCTCCTATTCTGTATGGCATGCCTTCATTCTTCAAAAGTTGTAGCCCTGGCAGTGCTTCTGCAACGTACTGGCTGCTAGAGCAGAAGATATTATACGAGGCTTGCGTGGTGGGAGAGCTATCGGTTCCGACAACGAAGCTGGCTTTGGGCATGTTACGGAACTCCGGGATATTGTGAAGTAAGATCAGTGTGGCCCGATAGTGTGGCATGCTGTGGCAAATTGACTCCTCAGGCTCTGAAGGTTGAGCAGAATACAATGTGCATGAGTTTCGCGCCAATGGCACAAACAATACTCCGTACATAAGCGATACCATGTGAGCTAGAAAACATGCTTCATGATTAAGAGCATATAAAATACATACTAAAATCAGCCATAGGATATCGGGAAGCGGGTATGTATAGAGACAATAATCATACGCTAGCGGACCGCAGCAATCGTATTCGCCTTCTCAAGTAAACCTCTGACGCGCCGAGTCAGGCGCTCGGCCTCCATCTTGCGCTCATACACTTGCTGAGCAGGATTCTTTTTCCTAGGCACCCAGCTCTTCGCCTTACCCTCAGCCCGTCTCGCGTTCAACTCGGAAAGGTCAACGACCCGTGGAGTCGTAGAGAATTTGATGACATCACGGTAGAGCAGCTTTGTTTCGGTTGCCAGAGAGCGCAAGGTCGGGGGCGAACTTGGCTCATCCGAGTCCGAGTCAGTGTCTGACAGACCAGACGGTTCTAACGGCGGCGTGGGCTCCCTGTTGATCGGCTCCGGAAGGAGCGGAAGAGTCTGTATCTCTCGGAGAAGATCTTGTCCTTTGAGGTAAGAGTTTTCCATTCGGAGGAAACGAACCGTCCCGCGTAACGCTTCCAACTGCAGAGGTTTTCAATTTGAGAAAGAATAGGGAAGAAACAGGCAAATACCTGCTCGAGTAGGTAGCTCGTCTCCAGGCTACCTTCCACGGCAACAGTTTCTGCTTCCACGGGTTGTACACCCGAAGCTGCGAAATCATGTCTAGGCGAGAGGACGAGGAGGAGCAAGAGGCACTCACGTTCTCTCTGCGGACCAGTTGACATGCTCGTGAGCTTAGCATTGTCTTGTTCCAAAGCATCGAGGTCGGCTTGCAGCTGTTCCATGGCTTCCTCGTAGGCACGTTCTTGCTTCCGTGCCTTCCCAAGCTCGCTCTCGAGTTCAGCGATGGTATCCGCTTGCTTCTTAACCGTCTCCATGCGGCGTTCCATGAGTTCGATCTTAACACCCGCCTCTTGGATAGTCTGGTCTTTGGACTTGAGGGAGCGGTATAACCCTTGGATCTCATCGCTCAGCTGCGCGACCTTACGCTCCGCCTCAATATTGACAGCGGTGCTGGCTTTGATCTCGTTGACGCGGACAACCCATGGTGCCGTGCCCGTGACTACAACATTCTCAGTCCGTGGCCTTCAGATTGGTAACAATTACTCACTCTTCGTCACGTTGACAGGGTCCATGGCCAAAGGTACCAACGCTGCTGCCTCACTGATGAGCCGTGCAATGTATTCAGCTACGGCTTCCCAAGAAGAGACACCATCTTTTCGATCTTTGCCCACTGTAGAGGCCGCGACCTGTTTGACGAATGAGAGTACTTTCGTTAACGAGAATGCTTCTTTCTCGCCACGGGCATCGCTCAAATGAGGCATGATTTGTTGAGCAAGCTGTGGGATTGATAAGCCAATCGATCCCACCCTGCATCGTGATCATATCTCGCACCTGTATGCCGAAATTTACTAGTTCGGAAACTAAGTTGTTCAGGGCTTGCAGCTGGGGAATAAGAGGGGCTTTGAGCGCCGACGACTCTTGTATGAGTTCTTCCAGGCGTTTCGTAAGTTTCCTAGGACACCTCAGCAGCCTTACCTCCGTTATGCCTCTCGTTAGCTTACCTTGACAATGACTTGGCCCCTTTGCATTGGTCTAGTAACTTCTGCAGAGGCCCGAAGAACTCATTCTCGATGTCAAGGCCGCCCAAATCAAGCGCAACATCTTCCGAACTTTGAGCGTCCCGTCTACAGCTGGACAACAGCAAAACACGAACCTGTATCCTTCATTATCGCCGCGACAGACGTCTTCGCCAAGCCCATGGATGCCGCCACCATGTCCAGATCGAGGTCGAACGCGGAAGCGTAGCCCAGCTCCCTTTCACCCAATTCATGGTCGTACCCAGCAAAGTACGTCTCGGCCAAATGGTCGAATTGTGCCTGCAACCTGCCAACACCAGGTTAGATATACATACATCCTTGAAGACAGTGATGCGCACTTCACGACGTCGCTGACGCATTCCATCTCACGGAACTCGTCGCGGCGGAGCAAGTCGAGATGCAAGTCGATCCGCTTCTCCATCGGTGCGAGTTCCGGGTAGAGCCTACCGATATTCAGGAATGACTCTGCGTCGCAGCGCCGAAGAACGGCAGCGAAGCGTTTGCACAGGTTGGACAAGCTAGCAATCCTGCCGCGCATCTATACGGTAACGGTGAGAAATGGTGTTGCACTGAGGTTCTGGATATGGTAAAGGGGAGGTCTTACCTCACAAATACCGACAAGGACGTCGGCAACGGGTCCGTTCAACGAATCCGGCAAGCCATGTGCTTGTCCCACAATCGCATTGATGAGATCGGTCTTGAAAGCGAGGCGCTGGAAGAGCAGATAACAGCTCGTCGCGTCGCTATCCGACTCGACATAGAGTTGTGGCAGATACGGCTGAAACTCGAATCAGCCACATATCCTCTCGAGCTTGTTACGGGCTCAACTTACCTGGACAATCGAAAGCAGCTCACGAGCCTCACGGGCTTCGTGGCCTTTGAGCTCCAGCTCAATGGTCTTCGCTTGGTTCTTGGATGCAGATGACTGGAGCTTGAGGTTGAGGGACATCATCGCTGCGGTCTGCGATGCCGCAGAAGCGGACTCCTGTTGGACAGTTTGATTCTCCGCGCGCAGCGTATCGAGTTCCCTTAGCAGGTGGTCAGTACGAGCCTCGCAATAGAAATTGTGAGATGTATCTCTCACTGTTGCAGGTTCATGACGAGCTCTCGGAATTGCGAGATCGTGTTCTCCATGTCGACACATACATCCTCCAGAGACTCGATCTTGCGGCGCTGTTCTCGCAGCTCAGCGTCCTTCGCGTCTGCGACGGGGGAACATCAGCAGCAGCGATTGGATCAGTGAAGGAAGGACGAACCGATCTCCTCCTGTAACGTCTTCTCCGTTTCCATATGATTTTCTTCCAACTCGTCGTTGAGTTCCTTCAGCGCTTCCAGATCCTCGATTGTGATTCGCATCTCCTCGATTTTCTGTGGCAAGCATCAGGGAAGCAGTACCAAGCCAAATCTGCAACACACTGACCTCGCTCAGCATGAGATTACGCTCCGTGAGTTGGACAAGGAGGTCCTCGGCGCCCAGGGCATCGTCGAGCTGCATCTTCAAGTCTTCGATCTGGACCTCTGCGTTGGCGAGCTTTATCAAGGTCTCCTCGTATTGGCCTGTGTATATGTCAACATAGTTGCCGCAGTATAGATTCAGCGGACGTACTCTGGATCTCGTCTAGGGTGGCAACGTCCTTCTCCATCTCTTGGATGCGGCGTCGCTGCTCTAACTCCGTTTCTTGCGAGATCTCTCGCAAACTGTGCAGTGCTTCATTATACTGATAGCTCACGCTGGAATGTTTGAAGAGAGGCTCACCGGTACAATGCTTCCTTCAACCGCTCGTTCTGCTTCTCTAGTTGTATATACGCTAGCGACGACTTCCCATCGTCTCTGCCCTCTCCCGACCCTCCCTCCGCTGGCGCAAGGATAAGGTACAGGAACAATAAGCAAAAAGAGGCACTCACTACTCGCACCACCATCGCCCACCGACCCTCCCTCTTTCAGTACCTTCAGCTCCACCTCTGCGACAGCAAGTCTCTCCTTCAGCTCCTCCAGCTCCGCCTCAGCCGTCTCCGCCCTCTCCTCCGCCATCTCCTTGTCCAGCATCGCCATCTCCAGCTGCTCCTGTGCGTCGAGCATCCGGCTCTCGGACAGCTCCGAGATCTGCTTCGAGTCGGAGAGCTCACGGCGCGCTGCGGTCAGCTCGGTCTGCAGCTGGTTGAGCTTCGCTTGCAACTTGGGGCGGAGGGCGACGAAGGATTCGGCTTCGGAGAGCCGGGTCTCGAGCTCGCGGACGTGGCGAGCGTCGTCGGCGCGTTTGGCTTCGAGGACACGAACTTTTGCACGGAGTTCCTGTAGTTCCTGGTCATCCTGGGAATGCTAGAACAAAGGTTGATCAGCTACACGTTAACGGTAAGAATGAGCAAGTCACATTCTGTCGGGACAAGGAGGAAGGGGGTCGAGATGGCGGCTTCAGTGGTTGCGTAGAAAGGAGTGGGGAAGGCTCCCTAGGAAAAGCAGAAGGGGGCGGCGGCGGAGACACTGAACGCAGGGAGCTGGTCTCCGGGGCTGGAGGAGGGGGCGGGGATGATACGCGTTTCAAAGGAAGTTTCCGCGGCGGCGCTGGCGCTGGCGGGGACTCCGTCTGCAGCGGCGAGGATACGGTCGGGCTGAATGGCGGGTTATTGTCGTGAGACGCATTGCGCGGGAGGGATTTGCGGGCCTGCAGGCCGCCGGCGAGCGAGAGACGTTTCGTGGGGGAGCCGAGGCGGGGTGTAGGGGGGCCTTGTGCACCAGGAGCTGGGGATGCCTTGGGTGAGGGCTTCAAGGGGCTGGCGGACCTGGATGCAGTGCCGGACCCTGCCCGAGAACCAGCTGCACTGGCGGTACTCGGTGTCCGCTGGTGAGACAGGCCTGGTCGAGGAGCGGTCCGTGCAGTCTTCAAAGGTGACGGTTAATGTACGCAACGTATTCATTGATAGAAGGGATATACGTACTGGAGGCGCAGGCCGCTCAGGCTCTGCAGAAACGACCGTAACTTGGCTGGGTCGGACAAACACACCATAGTTTGGTTTACAGTTGAAGTATGTGACGCCCTGGACGCTTCCATTATTCTTTCCTTTCTGCTCGTACAGCTCAATCCCTATCCACTTCCCCGGCGCGAATGAAGTCGCGCCGCTGAACCGCACCGTCCCCCGTCCGACCGAAACTTGTACGACCGCTCCCAACGGCGGGTCTACGGACGCCATAGAGCTCAATGCTTGCTAGCTTTCCGCTGCAGTTCTGGTACAGTATAGCGGTAAACCGGGAGTTAAACGAGAGTGAATAGCCCCTTCTGCAAGGTATCCGGGTTATAAGGTCATGTCAGTGGCTGTAGAAAGCGCTCTGCAGCTGAGTGCACGCGTCCGTGACAACAATTACCTGTGACTTGGGCTGTGACATCCAGGATCCGCCCTGACTGGACGCCCGAGATCGTAGCCTGCGACGCTGAGGACGGTGCTGACGGCGTGGGACGCTCGATTCTGGCAGTGATACACTGAACGGTGATTACTTACGTTGTCTGAGGGCGTACGGCCTGAAATCTCCCATTGTGTTCACGTTTCAATCTTGCGGAACGTTTGACTGCGAGCAAGCCGCGTAAGGTACACTCAGGCAGGTATAGTTCGCTCAGAGCCTGGAGGCATTATAGAGTCGCTGTTGAGGGACAATAAATATGAACGGGTCCTACTCAGGTATGCAGCAGTACCGTGTCTGACGCGTGCAAGAAGCTCAATCCCTGTATTTACTCAAGGCCAAACGAACTCTAGACACTCCGATGCCGACGGGGACACCGAGCGAGGCTTCCGAGTGAAATCCAACTCAGACCCTTCTTCGAGCCAGAGTACACGAAGCAGAGGCGCAGCGGCGGCGACGGAGCCGGACATGCACAATGGCTCGGTCGCCACCCTCCCAGACCCCGCCCCCATCCTGCCCTACTGGTCGGCAAAGCGACACCTCACCTGTGGTAATCCCACCCCGCCGCCGCCATGGATCCCCAAAATGGCGCCTTGGCGACAATCCCCCGGGAAGCTGAGGACGGCGCACGCCGCCCTCATCCTGTGTCTAAACATAGACGTGGACCCGCCCGACGTGGTCAAGACGAATCCGTGCGCAGTCCTGGAGTGCTGGGTGGACCCGCATAGCATGCCCTCGAATAAAGCGCTCGAGGCGATTGGCGAGAACCTACGGCACCAGTATGAGGGTCTGAGCCCCAAGATCACGTACAAGGCTATCCTTGACCCGTGGTACGAGGACTTGCGCAGGTACTGCGTCCAGTTCCGCAGAGGTGCGAAGGAGGATGCCGTGCTTTTCCACTACAACGGCCACGGAGTCCCCAAACCGACCCCCAGCGGCGAACTCTGGTGCTTCAACAAGCAGTACACGCAATACATCCCCGTTTCTCTCGCCGACATCCAGACATGGCTGGGTTCTCCGTCGGTGTACATTTGGGACTGCTCCGCTGCGGGCCACTTGTTACAGAACTTCAATGCATTCGCCGAGGATCGAGACAAGCGGAAGAACTTGATGGAAGGCGGCTACCCAGAGGGGCAGTCGCCGTTCTCAGAATCCATCCAGCTCGCCGCCTGCGCCGCGCACGAGACGCTTCCATCTTGCCCCGAGCTCCCCGCCGACCTGTTCACGTCCTGCCTAACCTCCCCCATAGACATCGCCCTGCGGTACTTCGTGATGAACCACCAGTTGCCTAACAATATTACCGCCGATATGGTTATGCAGCTGCCTGGTGACCTCAAGGATCGCCGGACGCCGCTCGGCGAGCTGAACTGGATATTCATTGCCATTACGGATACGATCGCTTGGACGACGTTCCCTCGAGAACTGTTCACCCGATTATATCGCTCTGACCTCCTCATTGCGTCGCTGTTCCGAAATTTCCTTCTCGCAGAACGTATCATGAAGAATTACCACTGCACACCTCATACCAGCCCTCCACTGCCCCCAACGAACACGCACCGGCTGTGGGCGTCTTGGGATCTCGCCGTGGATGCGTGTCTCCGACAGCTACCTGATCTCCTAGCTGGCAAGAAATCGAAAGGTGAGGCAGGAGAGAGTGCTGTAGCTAGATCGCGGCGCCAAGCCGAGCAGGCTCGTCAGGACAGGTCAAATAATGCCCATGCATCTGCGGACAGCCCGTACACCTACATCCCGAGCCGTTTCTTTGCGGACCAGCTCACTGCCTTCGAGGTATGGATTTCGCGCGGGGGCTCGGCGCTAACAAAGCGAGGCCCAATGTCGCTCCCCGTCCAGACGAACGGCGAGAACGGTGCCGCGTACGCAGAAGCGCCCAGCGACGCGGCGTTGGAGCCGCAACCCTCACTTTTAGATCAGGGCACTGAGCATCATCTCGTACCCCGCAAACCCCCAGAGCAGCTACCCATCGTCTTGCAGGTCCTACTGTCCCAGCCGCACCGCCTTCGCGCTCTTATACTGCTCTCTCAGTTTGTTGACCTCGGCCCCTGGGCGGTACATCTGGCGCTCACGATCGGGATATTCCCCTACATATCCAAGCTACTGCAGGCGGCTGGACAAGATCTGAGGCCCGTCCTCATCTTTATATGGGCACGCATCCTTGCGGTCGATCCTACCTGTCAAGTAGATCTTTACACAAATCAAGGGTACAAGTACTTTGCAAACGTACTAGCTATCCAGGAAGACCCGCAGCACTCCGTCATTCCGAACCACTCGGAACACAAAGCGATGTGTGCTTTCATCCTGTCAGCGATTGCTCGGGACTTTGCGCATGGGCAGACCGCGTGCTGGCGTGAGCGCGTTTTCGACAACTGCTTCGAAAGGCTGGACGAAGGTGATTTCCTCTTGCGTCAGTGGTGCGCTCTTTGTATCGCGCAGATATGGGATGGGAACGACGAAATCAAGATATATGGAGTCGACCGAGGGACCCAGGATAAGCTCATCGCAATGCTTTCAGACGATTCTCCTGAGGTCCGGACAGCTGCGCTCTATGCCCTCGGAACCTTTATGGGCTCGAGCGGTTCTGCGGATCCTAATAAGTGTGGTGGGGGCGGCAGTGGTACGATGCAACATCTTGAAGAGCGCATCCATTTCAGAATGGAAGTGGCTGTGGCAACGGGTGCTACCCTTGCTGTCAAGGACGATGCCAGTCCTACCGTCCGGAAGGAACTTCTAGTCTTGATTAGCTGCCTTGCCAAAGAGTGGCGAGGATACTTCGTAGTTTGTGCGTGGATTTACTGGGAAGAGAACCGCCGGAGGGTGTCTGGGATGAGCAATCACATGTCGGACGATGACGATGTTGCAGCGATTGCTGTCTCTGAATGGCTGGACAGCTTCGGGGATGATGAAGGCGCTCGAGAGGAGAACCGTGTCTTACTTTCGTCCTTCTTTACGATCTTCGTCGCTCTTCTCGAATTATCCACCGATCCGTACCAAGAGGTCGCCACCAACGCGCAGACCGTTGTTGACTATGTCATGGCGCTCTTGCTGGAATCTCCCTTTACACGGTTGGATTCTACTTCGCTGCATGTGCCACCTCCACCACCACCGTCTTCTCGTGTAGGGCACCAGCACAATGGCACTCGCTCAAGGGTCTCCTCGATACACTCATCGCCGTCCCAACCCCAACCGTATGCACCGATTGCCAACCGACCCCAGCTTAACAGAAGTGAGACGATGACCAGCGCGGTCGCTGCTGGCGTAACTAGTACCTTGCGCCGCACGTCGTCTTTTGCAAATGCCTTGAAGAGTTTGGCCGGAAATATCGCGTTCCCTTCGACGGAGGACGGTCGCTCCACACCCAGTACACCTGCGCCTCCGCGGCTAGATATGCCCGATATCTCTCGGGCACCCTCGCCGAACTTGAACTTCGCGCAATACACCTCTCCGTATTCACGTCCGCCTTCGCCAGACGGCGCGTTCCTTCCGCCGCCCTCTCCAGTTGTCCACCATCCTCAGGACCATCACGCTCCTGCGGACTTCATGCCTTGGGACGTCATGGAAGCTCTGATGGAAGAAGACATGGAGCGGCTGAGAGCGCGACGGAGGGCGGGTACTCAAGTCCGCAGGCATGTTAGCGGCGCGATGTCTAGCCCTAGTGGGAGTACATTCTCTGTGGATTCGGGAAACAGCAGTGTAATTTTGGGACTCGGAACCGGGGCTGGGATCAGGGATTCCCTGCCTCTGAAGAGTCGGTTCTATGACTGGTGTTGCGAGTATTTCAAAGAACCGCAGATGAGGGTGAGCTTCATTCTCGCCTGGATCTTTGATGGAATCTGAGGCCCAATGCGCAGCAAGCTGAAGCGGACGAGCCCGGTAGTGTCCAATATAACTACCAAGTCTGGCGTCAACAGCGGAACGAGCAGATTCTTACGGAGACTCAGTCTCAAGTGGAAGTCGCGGGTGAGTGTACTTTCAGATTTCAGTCGTCAAATACTGACTAACGCTATTTGCAGAGACTCGTAGGTGGACCAAGCACATCACGACGTTGCAAGTCGGCCCCTATCCTCTCACTACAGCCTTCCACATGTATGATCCTCACTTGGTCGTCGCCAGTGACACGGATACCATCAGGTGAGATAGGTGATATCTGGGGCGTCGTTCACTCTGATAGGTATCCTTAGCGTGTGGGATTGGCAGCAGAGGAGACGGCTGGCGCTGTTTTACAATGGCAATCCCAAGGGTACCAGCATCACATCCCTACATTTCATCAATCAAGATGTAGGTGGAATCATATTGGCGACATCTGGTCTGTGTTACTTGTTTCAGCCTGAGTGTACAATCGCTAATTAGAGGCGCTTCATAGCTGACGGTGTAGTGCGCCTGTATCGAAATTATGATCCGGCATTGACGTCGCAGCCAGTTCAAATGGTTAGCTCTTTCAGGGGTCTGAATGAGCTTGTGCAGACGAAGCGAGGAAGTGGGGTCATCACGGACTGGAAGCAGAACGGAGGCTCTTTAATGGTCGGAGGGGACTCTCGCGTGATCAGGGTGTGGGATGCCCATACCGAGAGCCTGTTGATGGTGGGCTACATCAAGCTTGCTCGCTCTCGCCTTGCTAATGCCTTCATCGTAGGATCTTGAAACGAAGTCTGACAGCCCCATCACCTCAATGGCTTCCGACCCGAGTTCTTCCCCCACATTCCTGGCTGGCTTCGCAGACGGTACAGTGAACCTGTTTGATCGTCGATTGCCTGAAGAAGACGCCATTGTGCGGTCGTACTGCGAGCACGTCTCATGGATCCAGAACACGCGTTGGCACCCTACATTGTCAGGCAAATTCCTTTCTGCTAGGTATGTACCCATTCATGGATCTCAAGTATGAACCTTCAAGTGACATGGATATCAATAGCTTGGATGGTGAGGTGAAGATCTGGGACCTTCGCGCAGACGCTGCGATCAATAACTGGGAGATGTTCCCGCACGGCCTGAGCGCTTTTGACGTCCACCCCCAGGCCGGCGTCTTCGCCGCGTAAGTCATCCTGCCTCACCCCCATTCTGCATTCTCTGACCTCGATATGTAGCTTGTCGGCGGTGAATTCCACCCAGTACAGAACACAACGCGCAACAGTGCAGTCACTGACCTTGTCCGCGGTCCTTTCAAGTGTGGACATCAATACCGGTCTTACTGCGCCTACGGCAAGACACCAGCCATCACCCTTCATTCCGAGGTCGAGCTCTTTGGTTTTCCATCCGACCGAGATGGTGTACGCCATTGGTCCCCCTGATGGATCACGTGAGTCCTTATACTTGACCTTGGACACAACCCACGCTAACATACACTTTCCAGTCCGGATTTTGGGATGCAAGATAGCATGAGAGCGGGTACAACTCCTCTCTTACCTTTTATTCTCGACCTGTCAGTTATCTTTCCTTACCTTGGATCTCTAGGGTGTGTTTGTGCGTTCAACTCTCGAAAACTTGTCCTGTGCAGCTTGGATATGGACCAGATTCTCCTTCTCTCTGGTTGCAGTCTGATACACTACGCCTGTGCACTTCAGCAGTAGTAACCCTAATGTATCCTTAGTATACCGCATGTACCATAGTAATTCCCTATTTTCTCGCCCATCCTGTTCTGTACACGTACGTGTTGCATGCCATACTGCCGGCGCCTATTATTAGTATCACGGGCGCCTATGCCTTCACCGTTGTTACACACTATCCTCACTCCTGAGCAATGCTCCATGATCACCTAGATTGCCCGTTATACGGACGTCTGCATTCTCGATGAATATAGGACTACTATGCGCGGGCTCGAATGCGTACGGTCAACTTTCCACTGGCGGCACCGAAGACAGACATAGGTTCTCGTCCGTGCTGCCTGGCCTTCCGACGAATACCAAGCGCATACTGAGCGTGTCATGCGGAGCAAATCATACACTAGTCTTACTTGAGACTCTTAACGAGGCGGGCTCAAATAGTACTGAACTGTGGGGATGCGGCGATGGACGGAGAGGCCAACTGGGGCCTTCATATGACAAGGACGGTGGACCTTGGACGACTTTACGGCCGATTGACCTGGATCTGAAGAGGCAGGGACTAGATGCGTACACGTTGCGTCTCGCGAGTACGAGCTGGGAGACCTCTTACTTGGTGCTGTCTACCCCTGGCAAGGACGACGTTCTTCTATCCATGGGCTCGAACGATTACGGCGACTTGGGGGTTGGTATCTTCGACGCTGAGTCCCAAAAGTCGCAGGCGTGCCATGAAGTCAGATTTAACCATGTCTTAGGATCTGAATGGGCCGCCCGTACAATACGTATCGAGGCTCTTGCGACTGGTCTCCACCATGTCATCGCTCTCCTGGGAGGGGATGACAGCCGACGTGGAATCCAAATCGTAGCAGGGTGGGGCATGTCGAGGCACGGTCAACTGGGACACGCAACCAACCCGCCGATCCGCTCACCTGCGTTTATCTCGATACCTTGTCTCGTAGCATCGGACGCTGCCTTAGGACGCGTTATCGCTGCTGGTTTGGGTCACCAACACACAGCCTTGTTGCACGATTCAGGCCGAGTCACCGCTCTGGGATCCAATCGCAAAGGCCAACTGGCTGGCATTGAACGCTGGAGGGATGTGAAATCCGTAGGCTGCACCTGGAACGGTACCTACGCAGTTGTACAACGCTCAGACCAGACGCATATACTCGCTTGCGGAGACAATCGCAAGGGCCAGCTAGGTTATCAAGATGGTGCCGACTCCTCTATCCCTTCCCCATTTACTTCCGTCACACACCGACTCTTGAATATGGCCTGCGGGAGCGAGCACGTTCTATGTTTATTTGAGACTAGAGCGTCTGTCTCGAGCGATTGGTCGGATCAGTCTCGTACCGGTACCGAAGTGTGGGGGTGGGGGTGGAATGAGCACGGAAATTTGGGACTGGGGAACACAGAGGATGTTCCGCAGCCTGTCAAGATATGGCCACCTCGGTCAGAAGAAGAAGAATCTGCACCCGATGGGAAGGTGCTCTCGATATGGGCTGGGTGCGCCACGAGCTGGATAGCAGTCGATCGGTAGACACACAGCCAATAATACCCTCAGATGACATTTACAGCAGCTGAGTTGTGGGATTACATGGTACGACGCACTTATGCATGGGTGTGCGGTAAAGGTAGCAAATGCCTGAGCACGGGGAGGAAATAGCAGGGCGCCTGTTCAATCCGAATCGGTTAGACCGTAATCTTCGTGTACTCTCCTGATAGTTGTATGCTTCAGGGCGGCCAGCTGGTATGGAATGAGGGTCTCCTGTGATGCAACGTGTAGACGTAAAGCTGCAGTGCGCCTACCTTGCCAATGAGTATCTGGTCAATGGGAATAGGTCAAGCCTGCCTGCTCGGCGTTGTCATGAGCATGACCACAACGTACTTGCGCAGCATCCTTAGCTTCATTATACTGGTGTAGCAGCTTGATATGCCCAGAGACGATCTTTTCTGCGTCCACGTCGTCGCTGCGGCGCGGTCAGTTGAGCAATATATTTGAGGAGGCGATCCTCGTTCACCCGAGTTTCTGTTCCATTTCTGCAATTTCTGCTTCAAGAGCAGCGATGCGAGTCTGCTGTTTCTGCGAGACGAGAGCGATGAGTACAAGATGGAAGCAGAGACCTGACCTACCTCGACAGAGAACGAAGCGTGCATGCTGGATATACGTTGGGGAGAACGAGCACTAGAGCGGTTAGACTCGACGCGTTATTTACGCGTTGTTTGCGTGCAATTGACACTGACAGTCGCCAAGCCGGCGGCAGCGCTTGGGCGCGACTTTCAAATACGCCGAGCAAAGTCCAGTGCTGCTATCCTTAGCGTGGTGGGCGTGCAGCACGGTGAGAACCGCATTTCTGTTCCCCATATTGATGCTGCGGAATAGCTAGGCAGCGGCCAAGGTTGCCCTCCTCTTCCCCCTCCTCGTATTTCTCCCTCCACAACCCGGATCCGGACATCCATGGCGGTCATGGCGAGCTTGTTCTTTCGTCAGTTCTCCGCTTTGTTCTGGAAGAACTGGATTGTTATGTCAAAGCATCCTTTGGTAAGTCGTGATAGACTTTGAAGGCACGCTAACGCCGACATGAGACTCGCAGCTTAACATACTGAGATGCTTCCTATTACCAATTGGATATGGAGTCTTCCTCGCCGTGGCTCAGACGTTTCTACTCAAGCCCAACAATGTCAGCACGAGCCCGAGACGTAGACGCTTACGACGCAAAGCTGATATTCTTTTTACGACAGTATGGCATCGGCTCTCCGGTTCCCATTCGCCCCTTGAATGAAGCGTTCGACGGCTCCCTGACTCTGGTTTGGGCGGATGCGACCAATGGAGCTCGGTCACCTACACCCCAGGACATCATGGCGCATATAACCCGCGATTTCAATTCCCGCCAGCTTGGCGCTATCAAGCGGATGAACTCGCCGAGTGATATACCTTCTGCATGCCCGCAGAATTTCAACCTGTACTCTGAATGTTTTGCCGCTGTCGCTTTCAATAGCTGGCCGACTTCCGAGAACGGGTCCTTGCCCCTCAATTACACGATCCGCGCTGACGGTGGTCTAGCGTATATCGATGTAGTGAAGCACACGAGTGACTACGAGCTACGCCTCTTGCCGCTCCAGTTCGCGGTGGATCAGGTAAGTTATTCCATTCAAGTCAGATAGGCGATGCGATATGTAGAATATATAGGCCATCATTGAACTCACGACCGGAAATACCGTACCTACTCCGCAAGAGTGGGTGTTCACGCAAGAGACCAACGAGGAGCAGGCTACCCGCACGAGATTGAGTGAGTTGCCACGAGTATCTACTTTTACAATGACCTGACCATGCGGCAGGCTACATCAGAGGTTTGCGGAGTTTGCTGGTCCTGGCACTGTAGGTTCAGCCGTCTTCACTTCGGTTACGTTTTCGGCATCATATCTGAGCGTTCTCTAGTTTCATATGCTATATCGGCATCGCGTATCAGTTACCGGGGTCCTTCATGGGCGAGCGTGCGATCCTCTTAACCAGTCATATGAAAGCGATGGGCCTGATGGACTCGGCGCGAATAATGTAGGCTCAATAAATTCCCTTTCTCGCATGTCAATGGCTGAACTCTCCGCGCAGCTCCTGGCACGTCAGCATATCACTCGCATACCTCCCCGCTTGGATCATTGTCTCCCTGGTCTGGCACTACCGCATCTTCACCGCTACCAACGCCGGCCTCATTCTCATCGTGCACCTTCTCCTCGGTTGGTCCCTCGCGTCCTGGTCGTTCTTTGTATCCGCTCCTTTTGGCAACAGCCCGCAGCTGGCAGCAGTCGCATCCACATTCCTTTCTATCGTCTTTGCTATATTGGCCTTGGTATTTGGTCACGCGGGTACTGGCGCCGCGTTCATATTCTCGGTGGTGTTCCCTCCAGGGTTCTACATTTTTGCGATAAGGGCGATATGTGGGTTCGAGAACCATCAGATGGCGACAAATGCCGTCAAAGGCGATCCTGACAACCAGCTAATGCTGCTACCTCTCATTATCGCGGCTATCGTGAGCAGTCTGGCTTTCCTGTTGCACTGCTTGGGTGACACTTATCAATGGGTAGATTGATGTTTTCCTCTGGCCTTGGCTAGCAACTTTGCTTGAGCACAGGTTGTATGACGCTCGAGAACCGTCAAAAGGCTGGTCCCGCTTCTTCCGTCGAAAGCAGTCATGTGGCCACGATGTGCAGGCAGCCGTGCCCCCTAACACGGCCATTTCAATTCGGAACCTGTCGAAAACGTTCAGTAGGTCCTTGTTTAGCCGCGAAAAGGGCGTCGTGACGGCAGTCGGCGACCTCACTCTTGACATACCAAAGTACGGCATCTACGTCCTTTTGGGTTCCAATGGGTCAGTCATATAAGCATAACTGCTTGCTTACATGTACTGATAGTACCGTAGTGCCGGAAAGTCTACGACCCTCTCAATTGTGGGCGGGTTGCTCGGACGTACCAGCGGATCTGTCACTTTCGAGGGTGGCGTCCAGCGGCCCTCACGCGGGACAGTCGGCATTGTCCCACAGAAGAATGTCTTGTTCCCTGAATTGACGTGCTACCAGACGCTTCGTCTGTGGAAGGCCATCAAACGCCCTGACAGTCAAGCGGATGACGACGATGTCGAGCAATTACTGCGGGACTGCGATCTGTCAAAGAAGATTCATTCCAACGCCAATACCCTGTCTGGTGGGCAGAAGAGGAAGCTGCAGCTTGCTATCGGGCTGATTGGAGGTTCGAAGAGTGAGTGTTTTGTGTATTTTCCGCGTTGATAGTATCTCATTCAGCATACTTGTAGTTGTCCTTGTGGATGAGGTGCGTACCATGCTGCATAGTGTATAGTCATGGGCTTCACTAATAAACACTTGAAGTGCACTTCTGGTGTCGACCCTTTGTCCAGACGAGCGCTTTGGAAGACACTCATGTCTGTTCGACATGAGCGTACCATTGTCTTCACTACACATGTGAGCTGTTCTTAAGGAAACTTTGCTTGCAGCCACCCATATGGTACACCTCTAGTTCTTGGATGAAGCAGACCTGCTGGCCGATACTATTGCTGTACTTGCGCCTCCTGGAAAGAAGGTTGCGGAGGGTACGCCCGTGTTCCTGAAGTCCACGCTAGGGGAAGGATACACAGTGGAGGTGACGCTGGATTTGGAGAAAGATCCAGAGAAGACTATCAGTGCAGCGGCCGCCGCTGCTGAATTGCTTCGACTAATCCGCGGTATATCCCCTGCTACATATCTTTCTTCGTCTTCTCCGAGCCAGATCTCGTACCACCTCAAATCCAAGGATCCGGCTGTAGTGGAGCAAGTACTACAACTCCTTGACACTCAAGGTTTGCAGCACCACGTTGCATCCTACGATGTGCACGGTGCTTCTATAGAGGATATATTCCTGGATCTGCTGAGCCGAGATGAGAGGTCAGACCCCAATTCCCGGCCTGATTCGGGCCTGATGGAGAAACCCACAACGGACACGTCCACTGCGGGTTCACTTGGGACACCGACCCTGGCATTGACGAACGGCCGAAAACGATCACCCTTTGGTCAAGCATTTACTATTGTTCACAAGCGGGCTTTGATTGCTCGTCGTAGTTGGCTCAGTCTTGGTCTTACTCTTCTCGTTGCCATTGCAGGCTCGTGCGTCCCGCTTTTCTACCTTGGAAACCGCACTCAGACCTGTTCGACGAGCTTCCACAATGCAACAACCATTCCCATATATCTACCCACATCACCTATGGCAGCATCCACTGCCGACGAGCCTGGTGGACAGGTCATACTTTCACCGCCGAATGTCACCTCCGTGCTGGGAGCATCTGCACTGCGCCTTCATACCGAGAATATAGATGATAACGCTACCTTTGTGACAACCATAAACCACAACTACCTAGGTCTGAGTCTCGGCGGTGTCTCCATGAATTTAGGCACTGGTGATTCACTGGTTGCTTGGGAGGGCACCCCGCCGGGATTGACTGGATTGGCCATGCTGAATCTGGCAACTAACATACTGTACAAGCACGCGCTTGGGAACAGTGCTAATTCCACTGGCATCATAGCAGCGAACTACCAGAGTTTCCCGACCATCGATGCGGGGACCCTTTCGGCATTGCGATGGGTTGCATTCTTCGGTGCAGCGATGGTAAGGTCACGTCTTCCCAATTAATTGAGGTACTTATGCCGCCATTTTCAGAGCGTCTTCCCAGCCTTCTTCTCCTTGTACGTCTCTAGAGAGAGACGGTCATCGGTACAGGCAATGCAACTGTCCAATGGGCTGGCGGATCCAATTGGCCTATGGCTGGGGCACCTCATCTTCGATTCGGCTGTGTCAATCATCATTGCCTCCGTTATTATAATCGTATTCGCCAATGTATCGAATCAATTCCATGGTTTGGGATTCTTCGTGAGTCGATATCCGCCATTGCGGAGTTTACCTTCACTTATGCCTCGTCTATCAGTGGGTTGTCCTGGTGTTATACGGCTTTGTTGGAACGTTGTTTGCTTATTGTGTTTCTTTGATCACGGCGTCTCCACTCGCCGCCTTTGCTGCTACAGCTGGTTATCAAGTCATCATGTTCGTGGTATGTGCGATTCCATCAGGGACATAGACCATCGTATTCATGAGCTGTTCTGGTGAAGTTATACCTTGCAGCATACCTCCTCACTTTGACATACGCAAAGACGTCTCAAGCAAATCAGATAATTACGACTATTCGTAGGTCGCGTACGCGCCTCTTGCACCTTACAATCTGACCGGATCCACAGACTTCACATTATCTATATTGTCCCCGGTAGCGAGCGTGGTATGTGTTGCCTTTCCTGCCTTTCGTGCGCACTACTCACCAATGGCCTGAAGATGCGTGCATGTTTCGTATCCGTCAATCTTTTCTCCCTCCTCTGTGACGGTACACGACCTATCACCACCGCGGACATGGGTAATATCATGAGATACGGAGGTCCTATACTCTATCTCTTCATCTACGGGTTCATCCTCTTTGGCATCCTTGTCTGGGTTGATTCGGGATCCACGATTCGCCGCCTTATCCCTGCTTTACGCACCCGCAAACGCAAGATTGGTATGGTGCCTCAGACAAATCGATCGCAAGGTTCCCTCGCGCAGTCCAGCAAATCAGTGCCCAGCGACGTGCTGGCGGAAGCACAAGCTGTAGAGAGTTCAAATGATGCGCTCCGGGTCTTACATGTCGTAAAGTCCTTTGGCCAGACGAAGGTCCCCGTCGTGGACGACGTGAGCTTTGGGGTCTCCAATGACACTGTGCTCGCTCTGTTGGGACCCAACGGGGCTGGCAAGACGACCACGTTTAATATGATTCGTTCGTATAAAGTCCTCTTGTGTTGCAGGCCCATAGCTCACATCTGGAACAGGTGGAGACGTCACACCGGACTCCGGTGATATTATGATAACCGGTACATCCGTGATCCAACATCCGCGCACTGCTCGTCTGTCGTTAGGCGTCTGTCCACAGTTCACTGCTATAGACCCGCAGTTGACAGTGCAGGAACATCTCGTAATATATGGCCGATTGAAAGGCCTCTATAGAGGGCAAGAGCTCAGGCGTAACGTCAATATGCTTATGCAGGCGACTGCACTAGACATTTATAGAGATAGGCTGGCAAGCAAACTTAGCGGCGGGAATCAGAGAAAGCTAGCGTTGGCTATTGCACTAATGGGTAGGCCACTTGGAGTATCCCGTGTAGTTGGCTATGGTTGCTGATGGACTCCCGATAGGTAACCCGTCCGTGGTCCTCATAGATGAATTCTCGACGGGTATCGACGCTAAGATGAAGAGGGAGATGTGGGGCACTCTGCGCAATGTGGCTGCAGGCAAAGCGGTGGTAATCACTACACGTGAGCAATCATCGTACCTTCGATATTTTTTCTGTTGCTAAAGCAGGTATCTCGGGAAGACTCCATGGAAGAGGCATCCGCTCTCGCCAACAAAGTAGGCATCCTTGCAAAACGCATGTTAGGTTAGTCATCCTCGTTAATCTGACTACGTCTAACATCCGCTAATTATTTGTTTTCACGCTACAGCGGTCGGTACTACGACGGACCTCGTGTCTCGTTTCGCTTCGTACGAGGTGCATTTCTCCACTCGCTCGCGAGAAGAAGTCCTCAAGGCCAAAGAATTGATGACCCGTATCGTGCCCGGGTCAAAGTTGAAGGAAGATGTAGCCACCCGCTTCGAGGTACCCATAAGGACCAGCATGGATGGTTCCGCTCAGACGGATGCCGGTGACGAAGAGTATTTGACGCTTGCCCGCCTCTTCCATTTTCTCTCTTCACAAGGAGATTTTTCCGAGTATACTGTGGAGAGGGCGAGCTTGGAGAGTGTGTTCTTGAGAGTAATCGGAGAGCATGAGGTGAGAGAGGAGGAGGGTGACGGTGGAAGAGGGCCGTGGTGGAGAGCTATATTGAAGGTGTAGGCCATGAGAATGTTCCGGTTCTCATGATTGATTCTCAGTGCTTACATTGCTATGGATTATTGTCTTGCATTTGGACACCAGTTCAAGATCATCTACTGTATCTTTAGGCCGTTTCGTCGTAATATTTATGGCACAGATGTAGGTAGTATATTAACGAGCAACAGTGCCCACTGCACCGACTGACCGCCTACCTCCTTGGTTCTGCCCCACTGCGCTACTGCACTCGGTCCGGGTTTTCAATACTGGCACGAAGCCCTGGGTCTTATCAGGCACAAACGCGATAGCCGAGAGGTTTGCTGCTGCGTAAGTAACGACACTCGGTCCAACATTGCCAGCTTCTTCTATTTCACGAAATGTGATTGGTCTATCAGCCTTCGCTGATCCTTCTCCTCCGCCGGATCATCCAGTTGCAAGGTTTATGGTCGCAGTGACAAACTAGTACAACACATACCCTCGCTGAGTCTATCTGAAAGCCGAACAGTGAGTGATACGGTACACATCATGATCTTGGATCAAATCGGATTTGCCCTGACAAGCCTTGAAGATACAGTACGAACTGCAGTACTTGGACCCGGCATTGTTCCGAACAGGCCCTAAAGCTGTTAGCCATTCAGCTTTATATATCCCTTGCCTTGTCTGAAGGCCTTCGCGATCTGCTAGCCATATGGATATGGTGCCTCTGTTGCGTGTTCAGTCCTTCTGCGCTTCGATTAATAGCTTGAAGTCTCTCCTTCCATGGCATTACGCGCTTGTACTCTGACCTGTCGCCGGCGTTTCGGCCTTCCCTTTGGGGCACGGGTAAGGCTCTAAAGACTGATTGATCTCGGAGCCCCTCAGCCGTGATACGTGCACAGCGCAATCAGATTCACAGCCGGCCCCGAGAGATGCAGGGATGCTCCTTGCTTCTTGTGGTCTGGATCCCTAGGGAACCAGGCCCATCTTGTACCGTAACTCTGACGCGTTGAACTAAGAGTGAAGATCTTATTTCAACGGTTTGATGAGGAATCCCCACGTTACCCGTGGTGGCGGGTAGTATTATAGCCTCTGCCTTCACTGCTGCGAGCGGTCCTCGCTCCTGCCATGTCCACAGCGCTCCCCGCGGAGCTGGTCGCGCTAATTTCCTCTCTTGAAGGCATTGAATCGACCAAATGTCTTGCTCTTGCCACTTTTGTTATGTCCTTGTATGATTATATATATCATCACCTTGGAGAAAGAGGTACGTCTGAAGCCGTTCGGATTCAACTAACCTCCTCTAAGAGCCCTCTGCCCCCCCCCCCCCGGCCCCCACCACCACCAGATAAGATATTTCTGGTCCGGATCTTGGACAATATCACAAGTGCTATTCTTCTTTGTAAGGATAACAGTAGCCTCGACCAGTCAGACCACTAATCTCGCCCGTCAAATACAGAATCGATATGTACCATTATTGATTATGATGTACGTTGCTGATTGTTAGCAGACAGTCGTCGCGACCCTCTGACAACCATTCCTATTCAGGTTTGGCTTAGTCGGTAAGACCTCTCATTGTATTCGCGTCACATCTACTAAGACGACACCAAGGATTTTATGGGGAAATTTTGTCTCTATCAGTGTGTAGCGGAGTCCCTTCACATCTCTTATAATGACTGACCACCACTAGTTGTGAGACACCCTTGATTGCCACTCCACTGTCACACACTCATGGAGTCTATCTCAAGTTGCACTGGGATCATTAGGGGAAGCTTCATCGCAAATGCACTAGCAATGGCAGTTATTCAGAGTAAGATATGTTCCGCACACATTTTAATGCCACATATGCTCACCTAACACAGTAATGCTGATGCTGCGAGTCTGGTACCTCTTCCGCGCCAGCGTGCCTGCACGTCTGTTCGCCGTCTTCATTTCCGCTTCCTGCCAAATCGCCGCCTTCGCGATTCTAGGAGTAATCTATAACGACCTCAACGCCATTTCGTTCGACCTCCCCGGTTTCGAGCTTGAAGGCTGCTTGGTTCCCGCTCCAACGAACCTCTGGAGGCTTTGGGTCCCGCCGTTGATCCTGCATACCCTGCTATACGTATTTACTGCCGTGCAGGCGGTACTGAGGCGCAATATGTACGGGAAGCGGAATGTAGTGCTCGATAGACTTCTGAGAGAGTGCGTATAGCATCTTCCTCCCTCATCAATCTCGCGACACTCATGGACCGCTCCAGCGGAGGTATACTGTATCTAGCTGTGCTCGGTATTTACTCTCCCGATATTTCATCTTTGTCCTCGAATGTTGACCGTGAAATAGTCACCATCGGATTTTGCGCTATTGGGTCCACCACAAAAAATCCTTCCGTGAGTACATGGTCTTTCTCTCTTTCGAAGTCATACCACCATGCTGATACATCTAAAGGTATCCATTTCCGCTGTTTATTCCAAGTAAGTCTCAGCCCCGTATCGCATGGCTTTCGCATGCACTCATTCGACCGCAGCGTGATGATCGGCCTTGTCTCAGTGTGCATGTCACGTGTGATGTTCAGCATTCACTCCCTCGCAGAAAACCTCAATTGCGATCCCGACTGGCTGCTCAACCATGTAGAACTCAGCCGGGTCAACTGGAAGAAGGGATCGACGGACGGCGAGCTGGTGGTGGAGATGGACGTGGTAGAAGCAACAGAGGATCCCGAGTACGGTCACCGCTTTGCCGTGAGGACAACGAGGGTCGGCACGACGCCCGAGCCGGATTACGAGCCGCCGTTTTTGGTTATGGCATGACAACAAATGATGGATTTGTGAGGCCTTTGTTCCGGGTATGTTGCGTCAGCGGCTGTTCTCTTGTGTTCCCTGATAGGAGCATAGGTATGATAGAGAGACAAGAAAGAATAGAAATGTCATCGCCGAGTCCTGCCGGCGCTCTGCACAATCCATTCGGGTTCCATGTTGCGCAGAACCCACCAAGAGGAGGACGACGAGGTTATACTACGGCGACTGTTTGTCGACCCCAAGGCGCGTCTCCCAAGATGGAGGCCTATCTCACTAATTTAGATTATCGGCTCATGCACATGGAATGTTGCTATAATTTTCTCTGTATGTCTGAGACACCGTACTGTTCGTGTTTACTACCATCATGTTGGAGCAGGTGTTCTCCGGCTGGGTGTTTGTCTGTACTTATATACCTGCTATCAATGCCACTTCGTGTCTACAGTTCAAATAGTAGCATCAAATATCTCGTCTGGCAGGGGATCTGCAGACCACACGTACCGGTTTAGACTATGAATCACTGTCCTGCGCGCGTCGTTGGACGAACCAGGATCTGACCGTTACATCGATAGCAAGCCAGCACAGTCAGCGGCGACAGGCATACCACGGACGTGCTCAAACCAGACACAGACAACATGACTTCCCTTTGCTTGGCTCATAGCCTTACGCAGGACTTTGAGTGAGCATGGAGGAGACTGTAAGTCAAAAAGGGCATCCTGCAACCCTGTGAGACCCCCAAGGGCTGCTGACACTTCACAAGGCTTCCAGATGGGCACGATCGATGAGAACCACATTCCCCATGTCCGCACAATGTGTTGCCGCAGCATCATAATGCCTACCAGTCAGCCTCGAGCCCTGTGCTGATATCTACCACCGACGTGCGAACACCGACAGTGACGGAGATCCTCTGCAGTCTGTCCGCCTACTCGGAGATATGCTTCTATGTCAGAGAAACGCGCGAGCAACTCCGCATCACTGCGAGGACGTACGTGATCCCGGCGCCCACGCACGCTCTCTACGCCCAATTCGACTGGAAAGCCTCACCCTATTTGAGAGCATTCAAGAAAGAAGACAAGATGGACTGGGAACCTTTGCGGGGGGATCTTCTCCGTCCCACCCCTGGGATCGCCTTGGGAGGGGGTTACGAACAGTGTAAAAAATGGGAGGAGACATTACCAAGGTGGCAGGAGATTCAGGATGACGAGTAGAGAATCAAGTGAAAGCAAACATTTAAAAATATCGCTCTGATAGTCTTCGAGGTCATCAAAGTAGATTACATTGAGCTGGGGATGACACCACAGCGTCGGAGGATTTCTACGAAGCAGGACATGGACATATGGGTTGAGGTGAGGACCTTGTCGTACCATGAGATACTGTAGACTTTTCTCTGGCTCGAGGATGAAAGCGTCTCATATACGACGCATTATTACGTACCTCCTGTCCTTTCTGAATAGAAAGCGGGTGCGTCGCTCTCAGTCCTTGCATACAGGTTACAGCAGATGTTGCAGTCGATATTATGTATGCGTAGATGGACGCAAAATTCTCCCTTGGACAACTCGGATGAAAATGAAGTTCTACAACTCACCTGCGAAAAGTTCTCATGGCGAGAAAATCAGCAGCAGCTGGACGAAGACCATACGAAGACCATCCGAGATTCATGACTTCGTACACTGCCTACAACCTCAGTAGCACTGATAGGGCCTGAGGCCTGCCGCGCGAGGACAAGTGAAACCTTGACCACGAGTAGCTGCACGATGGAATGCTCACCTGACTGTCAAGAAAACGCGGACACACGAACCTTCATGACTTCGCTGACGGGGGCACTTACACATCGACAAGAGCACATTTATTCGTACAGACGGGACAAGGCAAGCCTAAGTACATCCCTGTCGATGCTTTGTATTAGCCACAACACGATACCGCATGATGGATGAAGAGATTACCCACCACTACCATGTCGGCCATCCAAGTAGCACCACATCCTCTACATCGTCCCCGGCTAACATCCGAGATCCGAGCGCTGATCCAGTTTCGACTGACGTATCTCATCATGGGCGACGAGCGTCTCCGTTGGCGTCCGCGCGAAACTGAAACTCTCCACATCGGCCCACGGGGTGAGCTCTTCGTCGGCCGCGTTGGTCAGTTCGTAATCATTCAAGCCGACGTTGTCCACCTCTACGAAGAGCTCGCCCTCGTGCGAGCCCTTCCGGAACTGCATGCGGCTCATTTCGAGATGGCTCAGGAGCCATTCCGAGTCGGTGCCAAGCGAGGCTGAGAAGGAGCGGATGCGGAGCATCATCCGGGACATCGCGATGGAGGTCATGGCGAGGAAAAATCTGCCACAGGAAATTAACCTGCAGTTATTCTCGAATATATCTGATTCCTTACTGGGAAAATCTAGCGGGAAGGGAGATCTGGGCAACAGATACATATTAGTGATCAGTCGTCTGTGCGGTAGGCAAATGGATTGCCTACGCGAGGATTCGCCTGTAACGCTCCAATTGTAGTAAATGCCGTCGAGGCTGGAGAAAAATCAATACGCGGCATATCCAGTCTATTCGTCCCCCACCAACCGAATGCAGTAGAAAAAAACATGAATCCACTACAAATGAGCAGTCAGCTCGTCTGGTTTGTACCAGGCCTTCTGAAATGCACTCACTCTTGCAAGATACGGGCCATGACAGCCCTAGCATCTCCAGAAGCCGGTTTGAAGAAGACGGCCCTAAGAATAGTCATGCCATAAAGAATGGTGTGTACAACGAGAGGCGGTATCCAGAGCTTCCCATTGTTGACTTGGGGGTTCGTGTTTGCAGTGGCCAGCCATATCGCAGTCGTGGTGACCTCGGCCCCGAAGTAAGCCAGGGAGAGGGCGGCGATGGCCCACCGGACGTATGCATTGTGCGAGAACAGATACCAGATCCGGATTGCATGCATCACTGGGCGTTATGTTCAGTGGATCTGGGATTGCACATCAGGGTGAGGACGAACTTTCGATAACGGTCATGATCACTGCAGTAAGGATAGTAACCGCGTCGATCCTGCCCATATCTCAGTTGAGAATAATAACAAGGGAACGAATCAGTCACACAGCTAGCCAACAACATCAGTGGGTAAACTGGGGGCTCGAGAGAATGAGCGCTTACATGAGTTAAGAATATTCCGGTGTTGAGCATGTACGCCAGGGCTGTTCACTACTCAGTCAAACTGCCTCTGAAAGTATCTTCGAGATCATGCGTACCACGCAACGCGATTCTGATAAACACCCCATATAATTAGTCGTGCGACTAATATCCAGCGCGACAGTATGAACGCACATAGCATTGATCAGAGTGAGGTAGCGATTCTGCCAACACGACTCAGTGAATCTGTGCAATCGCTATCATCTACTTGCACGCACCACCAAGAATAGGATTCTTGATAGATTCCATCGTCCATGCCAGAAGTATTGAACCTAGAGTGTAGGTTAGTCGGCTCTCGAGTGTGACCTTAGATAACGCACCTCCTCTCCGAATGTGATGCAATACTCCCAGTATACCAGGCCCATGGAAGCAATCTCCAGATAGAGCGCAGCTGGAAAGCCTTCTACTAGGCCCTCATAGACCTGCTGCGCGATGTTGGACATTATGCATACGCCCCCGCAGTCATGGGTAAGAGACGATAGCCACCCTCACGGCGGGAGCACGAGCTTAAAATAAGGTGTATACCTAGCCCGGACGGCCATCAAGTGACTGATGGACGTGGATGCATTCACGATCGCTCGGAACGTCGCTGATGTTCGATATCCTCTTTTGAATCACGGTAACTACCATCGCGCTCTCAGGAGGCAGGTCCATTTCATAGCGCTGCTGCCATATCCGACCATTCTTTTTCTCAAGGGGCGCCGAGTCAAAAGCAATACTCCTTATGGCCTCGGAGTGCGGGCACCGTTGAACGATCAGCTCTGGAACTGATTGTATAGCGTAAAGAGATGTCACTGTCCTTTCCATACCCAACAGGCTCTGCAGATCCGAGAATGGAGCCGGTACGAAACGGCAATTGCGGGGATACTGTTGGTCAATGATGGCACCCCACGCTTCCGAAGCATGCCATTTATAAGACCCGGTCCAAGCATACCTGAGCATATCTGAATCCGCAGTGTTGACGACGTGCACAATCGCTGACGAACGTTAAAGGCGTTTCCGACAACAGTCAGCGATGTCCACTATACTTACAGCAGGGTTATAGAGTATGAAGATATACGCGACAGCCTTATGGCAGACTTTCTGGATGCATCCGAGGTCCAAGTCACGGTCGGAATCACAATTGACAGCGTCGCACTGCCGCCGCTCCCACGGTGTCTCGGCCACGCGAGTGCCCGATCGACGCGCGACGCGACGCCGCCGCCACCAACTGCCACCTACTGCCACGCGTTGTAGGCCGCCTGTCGTGTCCACCGCCGACTGGTATAGAAGATCATAACTCATCTTGAACGTCCAGTTGTCTCCTGCCAGTTGTTTCTACTTCTTCTCATCCGCCTTGTTGAGAACCACAAAGACTAGCACCCGGGACCGCTATGGCATCCGACGATGAATTGTGGGGCGACCCGGAGGACGACAAAGACATGAAAGAAATATTACAACAAGTGGAGGCTATTGAGCGGGCCTCAGGTGAGTAGTTACTCGAACCATCTGCTACTGGGCCTTCGTTCTGTATCTATCGGGACGCGTTTCGTCGCTGAACTCTGTTATATGACCGCGATGTATTCAGCGCGTTCGTAAGGAGGATCTGGCTTCTTTAGCAATTGGTGCATTGCAGCGAAAAAAGCTATGCATTTCCATCTTGTCATTGCTGCCAGATGTTGCTTGCTACAGTAGTTGTTTGTAGCGACGACATCATTCACCTCCAGGAATTTCGCCCATCCCAACATGCTGTATCTGGCCGTGAAAAGCTGCATTATCTGAAATTTCAGAAGTCAGAGCGTGAATGACTTTTTGTCTCATCGATAAGCTTGAGACCTGTTATAATGAGCTGACCCCATTCATCTATTGCTCATCATGCAGTATCGCCCGCCCAAAGTCCTGCCAAGGCTTCTTTCACTGACACAGATGGCCATCGAGGACGCTCCTCGGCAGCCAAACGACCAGCTCCAGCAAAGGAATACCGAGAGACGTCGGTGAGCACTGAACGAGTCTGTAAGTTCATCATGCCGCCAGCATATTACACCTTGCTGAATGGCACCGCAGCCCGTCATGCTGCAGGAACAAGGCAACCAAGGCCTATCAAGCTGGTCAAGACGAGTTCTGGGGACAACAAAACGAGCTCAGGAGATAACACAATGTTCTCGCCTTCTAGGACAACTCGAAGCCCGGTCGCAATGCGTCCGGACGAGATAAAAATGGAAGACGAAGACGAGGAAGAGGAGGGTAAGTGCTTGTGCCAGTCCTCAACTATCCCGTCTGATAATGTCACCAGTCATTGAGAGTAAGATTCTCTGAATTCTTCTGGTACACCGCCCAACTTTTGCATTATATAGCCCTCATGGACACCGACAGCGAATCGTCCGAAGTACCGACAAGGACGAATTCCTTTTCATACTATGATTCTCGCACCACGTCGATGACGTCCGTCGACTCCGGGTCAAAGGCACAGGTAATATCTCCTCGCCAACCACCCAACATGTACCCAAGTCTGTCCTCCGTGATGGAGCACTCACCCACGCCGGTGCGACGGACCGCTACTGCTCCCGTGGGCTACGGCAACAGGCTGGAGCCACTGAAATTGCCCGAGCCACATTCGTCACGCACGGCGCCGGCGCCGCTGGAGTACCCTAACCGTATGTTGCCCCCTCCTTCCTCGACTCGGGCGTCCTCTTCCCACAAGCCGCAGCGGACGCCAGTGACCCCCGCAGACCGCCAGGATAAACTTGACCCGCTCGCAGTCCCGGCAGCACCGTCGTCCGCGCGGAAGATCTTTCCGCGTCAGCAGGACCTGGGGGATGTATTCTTCTCGCCGCCTCCCGCAGCGTCGCCAAGTCGAACGGGATCCGAGGCCAGCGACCCGCGCTCGCCGTTTCGGGCCGCGAAGTCTATTGTCCCAGACGGGTCTGCGACGCCCACTCGCCCCAAACTCGTGGAAGGATCCTCGAGGGACGGGGCGCGGGTGCATCGCTGCGCTAGCCCAGACAAGTCGCCCGAGCGTAAGCCCGCGCCGCAGCCCCTGACGAAGTCGTACACCACTGGGGACATCGCTGGGCGGTCAAATGTCTCAGCACCGGCACCTGCGAAATCGCCGAGCGATGTGCCCTCACCCCACGAACCCGATCCCGTTGTAGATATATTTGCAGGGAAGCTAGAATTGGCACGTGTGGTCATCGCGCACGCAGCTACTCTTCAGCCCCAGCTCGAGAAGCTTGCGTGGGGCGTTCAATATGAGATCGCTCGGGGCGTGACCTGCGGCCAGTGGAAGTGGGAGGATCTGACTACCGACAAGCTGGGGCAGCTGAAAGGGTCGAACGCGGAAGCTGCATACAAAGTGATCCCTGTTATGAGAGGGCTGCCGGTCCCTGACATGAAGTCCTCGAAGCTCACGATATGGCGCGAGATGGACAGAGAGCAGGCTGCAATTCTGGAGAACCGCGGCCGGGGCCTCGGACTGATGGGTGACTGGGACGATCAGTCCAATTGGTACGGCGGTAAGATCCAGCAGGTCGTCCGCCTGAGTAAGGTGGAGGGATCGAAAACCCCGGAGTACAAGATTTCCCTCGACAAGCTCGAAATGCGCCGCTCCAACCGTTTCGCGCGCTTCCTGGGCTCGCGGCGCTTGCTTGCGTTGCACGTGCCGGATAAGCTGCTGAGGGAGGAGGGGGACGACATTCGTGCGTTTCTCCGCTCTAAGTTCGTCCTACTAGGCCGCACCTTCGTCACTTTACATGCAAAGGATGGGAAGATATACATGGTCGAAATTTCGGAAGACTATGAACGTCGGCCTAACACTCAGCAGGGCGATAATAATCGACTGTCGCTGGAAGAAATCATCAGGTGGTACAATCCCCTAGACCGGAATCCCAAGCAGGTCTGTCTCTCCCTACTCGTGTAAGTCTTCATGGCGTCAAGCTGAATAAGTGTTCAGCCGATCAGTAAGTGGACTACTCGGTTTGCTCTGGGATTCTCGACATCCGTTCCAGTGCTACAGTTCGAACCCCAGCACATCATCTTCATTCGTGATCGCTGTATGTCTCATCGTTCAACCTGCACAAAATAGCGACAACTGACTCTACTCAGTTGCAGAGGGTTTTACAAAGGAAACTGCAGACGCTGAGCACACCATGACCGATGGCTGCGGCTTCGTGAGCGCTTCGGTACTACTGGATATTAAGAATCGCATGGGATACAGCAATCCCCCTACAGCGGTGCAGGGACGTATCGCTGGGTCTAAGGGACTCTGGATTGCACACCCGGATCCCCTGTATCGAGACCCGAACGGTCCCCGGATTATCTGGGTCCGAGACTCCCAGAAAAAGATTGTGCTTCCAGATTTCTCCAATGTTCACCGAGCGCACCTGATATTTGACCTCGTCTGTCCTAACCGATTTCTCCATCCTGCGCGACTGTCCATGCAGACGGTGCTCAATCTGTCTCATAACGGAGTACCGACTGAGGTCTTCGCCACAGCAATGGCCGATAGTCTACGGGAGGAAGTGGCGAAACTCACCAAATGGGATGGACCGAACGCGATAATGCTATTGATCGATGCTATCGATAAAGCTGGCCGCGTTTCTGGTACCAAACTACAAAGGCTAGCGGGGGGCATGAGCCGTGCACTTGGATTTAGTGGTAGGGAACGCCGGGAGGACGTAGAGGAAGAGAACCCTTTCAATACGTTTGACGACGACGGGGATGATACGTTCGATGCTGAGTTTGGCTTTGACCCCCAATCCGCTCCGGTTAGCGTGCACGAGAGCGCAGTTGAGTTACTGAAGGCAGGATTCCATCCCTTGAAGTTGCAGCTGCTATGGGACAAAGTGAAGGATATCTTGATTCGAAAGATTGAGAGTGAGATGCTTGGTTACCACATTAACATTGCTCAATCAGTGGAAGTGTTCGTTGTTCCTGGTAAGTCAGCATGCTGGTGCTGAATTCATGTGCCTTGTTAATCATTTTATGAAGACCCTTTCCATATTCTGAAGGAAGGAGAAGTCTATATGCGATCAAATCAGGGTTTCGAGGGGATGTTCACTGACACACTGGAAGGTCCCGTTCTGGTATGTAATTAGTCGTATACTTTCTGGCTGCGGACGATTCATCGCCTCTCAGCTGAGCAGGAACCCTACGAGGGTGCCTTCAGACGTGCAAAAAGTTATATCATTCCCTTATATTTCAAAGGCATGCTGTGATGCTGACTTTATACTCAGGTCACTGCTGTGCGATGCCCGCAGCTCGCTGATTACAGCAACCTTCTTGTGGTCTCGTGCAAGGGGAAGCGCTCACTGGCCAGCTATCTCGCAGGCGGAGGTACGGGATGTGGAAGTACCTTATCAGTGCCCTCTCTGACCTTCAAACACTTGTAGACTACGATGGGGGTATGTACTCATCTTATCATCTGATACAGCTTCTGCATTGTCAATTCAGACACTGTCATGGTCGTATGGGACCAGAATTTTGTGCGGCCCTTCTGCAACGCGGACCTGGTGGTGCCCGAAGAGAACTTCATCTCAGAGAATTTCCATCGAGATATTGAGAAAGTGCCTGACTTCCTTAATCGCATTGCGAGGCAGCGTCGTTCACAATGCCATAGCGAATTGCTAAGAGTTCTGCTACAAGGCATGGCAGACAGGAAGGTCGGAATATATTCCATGTATCATGACATTACAGTGCACACCTACGGCCTCGCGGACGCGAGGACGGTACGCTTGGCGCATATGTGAGTGTATATGTTCCGCACATTTGACTTGCTGATCCGAGCTTCAGGTTCACTCACCTCCTTGACTCGGATAAGACTGGGCTACGGCCCAAAGAGGAGGTTGTGAAGGCCGATCGCAGGCAATTCGGCGCAGCTGT